CTTGGAAAGCGATGGGGTTTAGATGGCCATGACAAAACAGCAAGCAGAGGGGTGCAAGTCTCCCACTCATGCATTAAATAATATATTGAGGTAGGAATGCTATTGGATTATTATTTTACTATTAGGGATGTTGTTATTTTTTTCCCCTTTTTTACAGATGGGGAACTGGGGCCCAGAAGGAGACTGAGAATTTGGCAGATGAATGGGGCACTGTACAGTGCATGTGGGGTGTGATCTTGCAGCATGGGTTGGCTGCCTTTAGGCTATTTATTCATCAGTCAGGGCACAGTGGATTGCAAAGTCTCTTCTTGCTACTGTGGGATTTGGATGTACTGTCCACACACATGGGAGTCAATGTTATTTAGAGATTAGTTCTGGTTAGAAAGATGCCACACTATCCAAGCAGCAGAAAGCAAAACAGCGATGTTTCAGGAACTGTACACTCATTTGTTTAACAAAGCAAACACAGCTCCTGGTTGAACAGCTCTCAGAGAGCAGCCAGTTTGCTGCAGCACACATCCTTGCTCCTGTCCCAGAAACTTTGCTCCCTCAGGAGGCTTCTCCAAAGGCACTGAACCCTTGTCCACTCACTCCAGTCGCTGTTCAACCTCCTCAAAATTACCTCACTAATCTGGAAGTCTAGAGCACTTTTTCTAGAGAAAAACAGAAGCCTGTGATAATCTGTGCTAACACAGGAGAAGCCCAGCTCCTCAAACCCTCAGTTTGGACTGACCAGTGTGAATCATTGCCAGATGTGCCTTTATTACAAAGGATTGCAGCTTTTGGCTTATTTGGGGGATAGAAAGATTTGCACGAGCTGGCCATTTCCCTGGGTGTGTGCAGCCTGAGCTTACAAAAAGCTTGGAGCGGCATGTTTGCACATAAAACAGCATCTGTGCTGTTGGACAGGTCACAGGTGCACTGCCGAGTTAATTTATGCAAAATTTGACTGTGTGGGACTGTAGGGGCCACTGGTCAGTCCTGCACAGAGGGGCTTCCACCTTCCTGGCAAAAGCTGTGGGAAAAAAATGTTCTAAAAATAAAGCTGAAAACCTCTAGGTAATGTTTCCAATGACTGTCATCTATCCATGCATATGGGAAGAACTCTTAGAGCTGAAAATGCACGTAGATTATTTTGCATTTAGAGTAGTCCTCCCTTGCTCAGATGCTCACACAGACTGGTCCAGTCCAGCTTGCAAATGATTCTGCTGCAAAGTCTGGCCTCGAAACTACAGCAAATATTTTCTTGATTTTTTTTTTTAATTCATTGGGTTTTTTACTGTAAATGGGTGTTGCACCTTTTGTTTTAATGCCTTTAACTAAAATGGTGGCTGTGGTAGCTTTTTCAGAAATAACGATGCAGGATGCTCTTCGTTCATCATTTTAAATACTGAATGAAGGCTTACCTCTCTTGCAGGCTGAAATCCTGTACCCTTTTTCATGTTGATCTCTGATTTTATATATAGTTCCCCTGAAATAATTGGATTGCTGATAAAATAAAATGCGTCCTGAATAGGAATAACATTATGTAGTACCAACACAGAGATGTGCAGTGTGACGTAAATAAACGATTAAGGCTTATTTTAGGTTATCCAGTAATTATTCATGTTTGTACATTAGATGTATATTTTAATATAAACAGGTTCAGAGTGGAAAACAACACCAGCATGGAACAGTGTTTATAGACCATCCACAAACAGAAGGAAAGAGAAGACCTGCCATTTAAAGACCAAAAAAAAAAAAAAAAAAAAAAAAGTGCTGCATATACAGATCCTCAATCAGCGTGAATGGCATTAACAAAGGATTCATTTGAACGGATTAAGTGGCTTATTACAGCTGCCTGGTGAGTTTTACAGATCACTACATTTTTTAACCAGATTCACTGAGTTATATTCTTAGCTATCAATTTAACAGTAATAACAAATCAGCAGTAAAATAATTTGTAGCCTGTCATAAATTTGATAAGCCTAGATGGTCATTTATTGCATTTGAGTTTGGTTGCTGGCCTGTGAGTTTATACCATTTAAATTTTAGTCTCTACACTTTTTAAACAGTAGGAACCAGGAACTATAATTCTGAGCCTGTTTCAAGAGGAAAGAGATTCCTACACTCTAGTAATGAACACGTTTGGAGAAGGGAAAGTAATGAGCAGCTCAAACCTGGCTCCAGGAAGCAGAGGTTTTGAAATGGCAGAGAATCTGGCAAACACATCCTTACCATACGTGACTGGAAAATGGGAGATTGCAGCACCATCTATCACGAACAGCATCATCAGATTTCTATCTCACTTGCCTGAGGGCTTCATGAGGACTTGGTGTTTCCTTCAATGAAAAATAACTCACACCTGGCCAGCTCTGATATGGGGAAAAAAAAATGTTTACAGAGGCTGTCTGCAAGTTAGGAAAGTGAGGAGCAAAAATGGGCTTAAATTAGGAACAATCACAGAGCAAACCAACGCTGTTATCTGCTACCTGGCTGGAGCGTTCCTGTGACGTTAAATCCTTTCTGCACAAACTTACCTGATGCATTAAAGGATGAACCATTTGCGTAAATATTTTGTTTCAGTAAAATCTGTGTATTCGAAAACAAGTAGCAGGCAAGGTAAGTGTAAAAAGAGTATAGAGTAAATGTACATAAATGGCTAAAATATGTAAAAATTTTCACTATTGAATTTATCAGTATATATCAGGTCCATATACAGGTTATATTATTTCCAGTTTGATTCTATGAATAATTAATCATCAGGGACGGTAATCACTTTGCTGGCACAGTTCTCAGTTCTCCAGAGTTGACCCAACGAAGACAAAATAGCAGTTGATCTCAATAGGACTGTGGGAATTTTACTAAATGCCTATGCATTTGCCAAGTTGAAGTAATTTTGAAATAGGCTTCACTGCAGCCTGCAGAATAATGCACAGCACTCAACATGTTATGGTTGTATCTAATTTAGCTTTTCATATAATGATTAAGCACCTTAGTCCTCATTAAAAATAATATGACTATTAATACTAATTAAAAATAATACTTATTTCCTGCATTGCTGCAGAAATTTTGGGAAATTTTTCTGATTTTAGTATATTCTCTCTTTTTTTTTAGTATATTTTTTCTCTCTCTCTCTTTTTTTTTTTTTAATGCAGAAATTATTTCAGCTCTATAGTAGTTTTAATTTTGTTTTCTTTTAAATCAGGTGCCTGCTGATGGTTTTTGCAGCGCAAGGAACCTCTGGGGTAAGTGCCGTTGATGTTTGCTTTAGGCAGGTGAGAGTTAGGATGGTGCACTTCAAACAAGTAACACTGTATACACCAAAATAACCTGCAGTTCTGTGGGAAAACTGCAATTTCCCCTTCAGTATTTCTGCAGTATTTTTTTTTTATTCCCAAAGTCACCCCCTTTTTAGTTGAACTGTTGAAAATGGAAATATTTTTTTACAAATAAATGTGTTCAATCAGAACAAAGGGTAACAGCTCACATGTTATTGGAAACTTGCATTCCACTGACATTCCAGGAGAGGCAAGTTTTTCATAACTAGGTGAGAGACCAGTGTGGAGCAGATTAGTAATTCCATGGGAAATCCAGTGTGTGGAAGAGAAGTAGCCTGTGACAGAGACCATCAGACCCTCTTGTTCTGAGGTTTGGGAGTTCCAGATATTCTAAAAATGTTTTAGATAGAAAGAACAGAATTTTTCCTCCTTATCTAATATTTGTCAGTGTTTTCTCCTTGAAACCTTGAAATATGAATATACAGTGTTCTGTTGGGTATTAAAACCAGTAACCAAACAATGCTGACCTTGGTAATAATGAAAATTGGCACTGAGCAAATATTTTTGTTATCATTATTTATTTGTTTACCTACATTATTCTTAAATCTTTTAACCCTTGTTATCCTTTTTGAAAAGTCTGATAATTTACACAGTTTTGCTGAAAAAATAATGCTATTTAGTGGACATTCCAACCATCTGTGTGAGTTTATAAGTACATATGGTGTGTGTAACTGGTATATGCTGGTTACTACAATTTGGGAAATAGAAAAGAATTATGAAATGGTGTTCACTTAAGCACACAATAAATCTATTGAATTTACATTTTGGTGTGTTTTAGTTTCTCCTCGAATATGCTTTGTTTCCTCATTACAGTTTGATGAAACAAAGTAATCACGTCTTTGTAATCATCTCATTCGCTCAAGTGTCCAGATGACAACGTTTGATGAAGTGATTGTTTTCTGCTGTGCATTGATAAATCCCTACATTTTTAACTTTTAGGGAGGATATGCATATATTGACCCATGTGGGGGACAGGATTGTTCAGTTTGTCGGTGCTTTCCAGAAAAAGGATCAAGGGTAAGTGCTGATCAGAGCTCATGGTAGTTACTGTTTTAAATACCAGTCATTTTGTGCACATTGCTGCTCCTGAAGATCAACAGGGTTGACATGAATCAATATTCAGGCACAGACATATCTGACTGTAGCAAACTAGCATAATTCTCTGACTGCTATGAGGTAAACCTACCAATGAAGAAAGTTAAGATTGTTTGGAAAGAAGTTTGTTTGTAATAATCATGATATCTTTTCATTCGGTTACGGACTCTGAGATCAACCTCGTAGTTAGACTGATTTAATTCCTAATAGATGTTGTTTAGAAATCTCTGCTTGTTTTCTATTAAGAGGTTGGTTACAAGAGAATGTCTATGCCATTCACTAGATTTATGAGAACTTAGTTATTTCTTATTTGGGCTGGGTGACTTTGGAAAAGCTTGGAGACTTTTTGTTTTACTCAGTTAATATACTAAGTATAAAAAAAAAAAATCCAAACTGTCTTCTAAAGAATTATGGAACACTGAAGGAAGCCAAGGCATTTTCATATTACACATTAAATTAGTAACTGTGCGTGCTTCTGATTGTTAATCGAAATATGGTCCAGTGAGGACTAGTTGATCCTGGCTGTTCTTTCTCAAAATACACATCTATATAGTGACAGAAATGTCCTATCAGTGATCAACTGAAAAACTGTCAGTGATGGAAATCGTTTTCCATCAAAGCACTAATGCCTAAGTTGAAGTTTAGAAGGCTTGAACGTGGTGGATCAGTTCTAGAAGAGCTGCACAGCCCATTTGTTTGTGGGCAAACCTGAGTGGCCAGAAAAGCAAGGCACACCTTCTCCTTCCTGCGCTCCTGCAGTTGGCTGCACCCTCTGCTGTGTCATGATCACTGCCCTGGTGTCCTTGGATCCCATCCTAATCCTCCAGGATTATGTCTGTATGAAAGTTCCCCCACAGGGTGGGATTTTAATAATAGAGGCCTGGGATGGGCATCTCTGTGTTAACAAAAGGGCATCCCAGGGAAAGAGTTCTGACTGGTGCCACTGCAGTGTCTCTCAGCATTACTGGACAGACTGTTCTGGAGACCAAAAACCTGAGCTGAAGTGCCATTATACAAATATAAGTCTGAGAGTTGTACCCTTTTCTGAAGCAGCTCGGAAATAAGGTTTTACATGTACACTGCTGGGTAATGGGTAAAGCCTCTGCCATGGAAAATGAATTTATATTGTATGCAATCATTTCTGTTAATCAATATGCAAGAAATAGAAGTACTTTTCAGACCCTACATGAAAATATGGCTTAACTAAACACCACTTCAGATAGATTGTTGCACATATACTAATGTATGGTGATGAACAATATTCTATAGGATTATGTGATTTTTTTTTTTTTCAACCTACGATTCTTTTGATTTCTAAACTCTGCTGTGTTCTGCCTTTACACTCTGACACAGTAATTTTGCTTTCCTAGCTTTTGTGGAGACTACCCATTACAAAATAAAAGATTTTTTTTATCTTATTGTTAGCTTCCTAGAATGTAAAACATCTGCTTTATCTACTTTTCTGTCTGAATCCTGTTCCCAGGCTGGCTCCTCCAAGTTTTGCACCGTCCTCAATTTTGTCCCTAAAGTATAATAAATAAATTATCATTCAAAGCCTCTGACATTGTACAACGTACAAGCCTAAAATTTTGGAACTTTTGGAATTAAGACTTTGCCTTCTGGTTGCCCATTTGAAAATATTTTAAATTTCAACACCGAAAGCCTCCTTCATTGTGAGTGGACAAGATAATTGATATTGTAGCTAGAGAAAAGATGACCATGGGAGTAAGAAAAGGAAACTGTAAGAAAAGAAAAGAAAAGTAAGAAAAGGCCATACTTGAATGTACTGAAATTGGGCAAGCAGGAAGAAAAGTTGAAGCAAGTAGCTGAACTTCCATGTAATATTTATATAAACCTGGTATAATTATGCACCAGTTGCTCTGTTGGGTTTTATCAGAGCTTGTGTACCTGTCATTTTTTTACTCTCTCAACTGAGATAACTCTGTGCTAGAAACAGACTTGCACTCCTATTCATTGGCAAGAAATAACTGTCTGAAAACATTCTATTCACTACTGTTGGTAGTATATCATTACAGTTGTCCACATCACAATGAAAGTTTGATTTCTGTTTAACTGGGACTGCAGTCTTGTTGGAGCTATTTTTACATTACACTATTTATCTTTTGATCTCATGTCGCAACTCAAAACTCTTTCTTTCTGGTATGCCATAAACTTGTGGGTTGAATTCTTATTCAAGGTGCAGTGGAACCTGTCTACTGTTCCCTCCTTTTGGGAAGCTGTTTCCTAGATAACTCCTGCTGTGCTGGATATCACAGGCTCCCAAAAATGCTGGCTGCTCTCACAGAATTTAGATGGTTAAAAAAATGTTCGCAGTTAGCGCTGACCAATTGTAAACCTGTCCTGTGCTGACCCCGGAGCTTGATCCCACTCAATTCCTTTGGCTTTGTTTACAGCGTTAAGTAGATTTAGAAAGCAAGCATCTATTCATGACCCAACCTGATCTGGCTTCTATGAGGTCATGTGAAATGGCTGGATCAGAGTGAATAACGAATGTAACTCAGCAGGACCGACGTTCGTCCTTTCGCAGATGAAGCGCGGGGCTCGTTTTTGTCCTGGTGTAGGGGAGGACGTAGCAAACAAACCCAAGAGGGAGGTCTCACACTTTCTGGCCTTTCAGATGTAAGGAGTAAGCAGCTACAAGAGGTGCTGTGTCAGTGGGCTGTCACAGGTGTGTTAGGAAGTCAGCTGCTTTCAGTGACTGCAGGCAGTGGGGTAAGGAGGGGGAGATGTGCAGGGGTCAGGCCTCTGGCACTGCTCCTCCTGGAACATCTCACCAGCAGATCTTGGCAGTGTCAGAGTTCCCTAGTAGATCCTGTGGGCTGTTTGAGTGTTTAAAATGCACTAACTGGCCAACTGTGCAAATTCTGCCTGTTTTGGGGAGTAAGAGGCATTTATTAAATCACACTTTTTGCTTATGGGTATGCAGTGCCAGCCTGTAATTCACCTGGAATATCCACTACAGGTATTTGAATTTTCAAGTTGCACACTCAGGAAATAATCATGTAAAATTAATCTGTTTGATCTCAAATACATGATCTTAATTGAATCCACTATCAGAGATGTTCAGACACTAACATAAAAGGAAATTCAGGTTTCTCCCACTATGTGTCTCATACTGGATAATTTTTTTCCCAGTCTGTTACCTATGGTAAGTTTTAAAATAGAAGATTCCCAAGACCAGTTGTACATTTCTGCAGTATTTCTATTGCATTTCACTTACATTCACTGAGAACCATAGAAAACAGACCCAGAGAAATGAGGCCCCTAAATCTCTACCTGCAGCAGAGCACACAGTTTTTGTTCCTAGACAGAGGAGCAGGCAGTTCACTGGTTCCAGAAGTCAGGATTTGATTTGAATCAGTAGGCACCACTTACCAGAATGTGGAACAGGAACACAGTCGCTCCATCCTCCTCACTGTAAGGTCCCTCTGAGGTTGTTCTATGTCCAGCTACAGCATCTGTAAATTAGCATTGTTCATATTAGACATTTTCCCAAATTTCTCAGAAGTTTTGATCTTGTTAAATTATCCCTCCTTTTATTCTTGAGCATCTTTCTATCCTTAGCACTTTTGGTTCTCCTGTCCCACCACACTAAAAATAGTGTTGCAGATGGCCAAGATTTTCCACATCTGTCAAAATAAAACTCTAAAAATCATTCCTTTTTTTTTTTTTTACAGACTGAAATCAACCAAAATTTGCAAATCAGTGTCTCGTTCCAATAAAATTGTTCAGAGCCAAACTCCATTTTATTTTATTAGCTAATCTGATGTTAATTATTTACGATCTACAATGCTCTATTTGTAGCTCCCTGCTTTCAACCATTAACAGAGTTTCAGCGCCAAATTATGGTTTGTTCAGAGTTTATTTAACACAACAGTGACACCCACTGGCTTATTGGATAGTTTTTAACAGTCCTACAGGGTTGAAACACAAAACAAAGTACACTGTGAATAATGTTTCCAGCACTTTGCTGTGATTTGTTGTGCTGCTGTGAAGCACCACTGTGAATACTGTGCTGCATCACCAGTTATGATGTTCCTGTAGCATTTTAGATCATTGAAAGGTATGATAAAAAGTCACCAACCTTTCCAGTAGTTTGTAGGATGGTTCACGTGCTTCTTACAAGAAAGATGGAAAGAGAGCCTGTAGTGACAGGAGAGGGGGGAATGGCTTCAAACTGGAAAAGGGTGGGTTTAGATCAGATATTGGGAAGAAATCCTTTCCTGGGAGGGATGGTGAATGCCCCATCCTTGGAAGTGTTCAAGGCCAGGCTGGATGGGGCTTTGAGTAACCTCTTCTAGTGGAAGGTGTCCCCCCCCTTGCAGTGGGGTTGGAACAAGATCTTTACGGTCCCTTCCAACCCAAACCATTCTATGATTCTATGGCATATCAAGCTCTAAAAGTCACTATTGCATTTAATTGGTACAAAATCATACTGTGAAAAATAAATGATCTATTTTGCTCTACTAAGGACAAAAGAGTGGATTTAATGCCAAGTTGTGTGATTTCTCAGATTCATCTCATCTTTATCAGGTTTGTATGTAGAAGAGGGTGTTTTTTTTTTTTTTAATGGAGCCTTGACTTGCAATGGGTGGAGCTCAGAGGAGCAGCAGATGCCTCCACCTCAGCAAGCAAATCACAAAAGAAAACATCTGTCTGCAAATGCCACTGTGAGCTCTCCTCTCTTGCCCAGAGCCCGGCTTGACTTTGCTCCCTTTCTCTGTCCTCCTGCTGGAGGAATGAGAAAGGCTGGGTGCAAGCCAGAGTCCTGTGCAGAATGGAAAGGGGGGTTGTATTATTTGCCTACAGTTGTGGGGAGTTGATGTGCATTTTCATTTCTGTCCTTTAAAACATTGTGCTTTCAGACAGTTAAGTCTCAGGGCACTTTAAAAATCAGGTGCTCTTCAGTCTTAGGCATCCAAAAAAAAAAAAAGTAATTCCAAATAACCTTGGCCACTGCCTTTTCCAAACAGCATTAAATCTTTCATTGCACGATTCTGAAGTATCTGCGGTCTTAGTTTTAGGAAGCATACTTAATTAAAAAAAAATATAGCCTTGTTTTGCCAAAAAAGAATTTCTTACTGCAGGTCAAGCCCAGGATATGCTAAAATAACAGACCGTAGTCTTGGCATGGGTAGTTCCTGACCTAGACAATTAACAAGGCATTGAAATCCTAAAGGAATTTATTGGCATCAGATGGCAGAGCAGGCATAATATTCTGTTCATTTTAACTGAGCTAATTTGTCATTTCCACATGAGCATGACTACCTTCATCCTCTTTATTTGTACAGCTGTCCTGAGACTGTAATGCTGTGTAGTCACATTGGATGGGCACAGATAATAGATGTGATAATAGATGTTATGACATGGTATCAGTTTGGTCTTAACAAAGCTCCCAGTCATTATCAGTCTTTGAGCTGAAAGAAAGAGGGACAATCCACCAGCTTCACATGGCATGCTAAAGTTGGATCAGCTGCCAAACCTATTGTGAATTGGGGATTCAGTGCCTCTGTTTCATGACTTCACTGCCTTCTACTGAAGACATAAACCGTGGGGTCAATTAAATTCATAGGGCAGCAACAAACTAAGACATTTTATCAGTCTAAAGGACTACACGTCCTGGAAGTGTTTGTTGGTTAATTGTGATAGATAATTACCACAGAATGCACACAGGGTCTCAACTTTTTTTTTCTGAGTGCAATGAAAATCACGTTTCTTCAACTGTCCAAAGGATGTAACATGATCTGAAAATTTTCAGCACTTGAATGCAGAGCTTATACACTCTATATTGAAAATACTGAGGTTCTGCCAAAACCTGTTGTTAATAAAATGCAATAAGACAAAAGTATTAGGATATTACTGATAAACACCTTGTGCTTTTTTTTTTTTTTCCTGCTGATGAATGTTGCATTTTGTATGGTAGTAGCTACTTCAGAGTACTAAAAAACCTGAACCACTTCAGGTAGAGTTAGGGCTTCAAACAGTTGTATTTTATTATATTATTAGGCTTGTTCATTTCACTTATACTCAAAATTACTCTTTCCTTAAAGTGGCTGTCAAGTCTTGTTTTTTTATCAAGTATTTAAAGGGTGCAATAGCTGCTTTAAAAGTACTTCAATGAGTAAATTCAGTTCTCTGACAGAGGACGTGCAAGGCACTGCCAGTAGACAGGCTGCAATTGTTCATGCAAGCAAATGCTCAGATTAAACAGCCAGAATCCTGCCTGCCCATTCACTGTTAACAAGGATGCAGAATCAGGAGCTTTTAATGCCAGCAGCCCCTAATTTGCATAATACTTGACACTCCTCGAATGATGGCATCATGAAAACTGTAACTGTTAGTGAAGACAACTGCCCTGGAGTTTTTGCCAGTGGCTTCGCTGGAAGCAGGATCAAGGCTGAAATGAGATGAGCCAGTGAAGATAAATGGAACCTGAGTTGTATGGGGATACTTTTTTCAGGTAGTCCTTTTTTCCTAAGTGTAGCACTTCTTTTTCCAGTCCCTGGACTAAGTTCCTATCCATAGCTCAAGGGCCAGTGGTCATCCAGTCCTGCTTCCACTGTGGTGTAAACCTACAGTGTGTTCCTGTGCAAACAGGTGGGAAATGACCTCCTCTGCTTCTTTGCTGATCTGACTGGATGATGGATGCCATACATCTCCTCAAATCACACTGATTTTAAAAGACAAACAGAAAATAAAGAAAAAGAAGTGTAGGTCCCTGCTTGCAGTTCACGAGGTAAGATTTTGTTCAGACAGATTCAGTCTGCTGAAAGGTTTGCACTGACAAACAAGCATTCAGTTCTTTTGCTTCCTGAAGTTCCACATCTCCTCACAATCACCTTTCCTTTCTGTCCTTTTTTTTTCATTCAATGCATTCCTAGAAATTAACATATGGTCTGTTATTTCTGTGGATACTGAAATATCTTTTACTGCCCTCAAGTGGTCCTGAAGCCTTATAGTTTTGTCAGAAATGCATGGATCCCATTTTAATTTCTTTTTTAATAATATGGTGTCTTTGACTGATGAATTCTGAAATTGAAACACTTCAGTTTGAAAACAGAACAAGTTATAGGCAAACAAAGATAATGATACAGAATGAAAAAGATGAGTAAGAGAAATAAAGGCCTGTAAATCTTCATATTTTGTTGGGTGGAAGTGTAGACAGCTCACATGTGAAGTCTGATTAAAAAGCTTGCTTTATTCAGCACTTTGAATCTACGATTGTGTAGCTGTTTAGCAGCACAGAACAAAACCTGCAACAAATCTGAAACAACTCCACAGCAATGCTGTAGACAGAAAAAATTCAGTTGGCACAGGAAGTAAAGAATAAATAAAAAATATATATTACCTTGGGAAAGTTAATGGAATTCCATGGAGATGGTCTGCATGGTAACATAGGTACAGGTACTCAGTGTAGAGCCATTTACAGATAAATGGCATTCTGCAAGCTCCAAAACCATTTTAACACAGTCTATTAAAATTAGTACTTTCTGTAAATATATTAGCTAATAACCAGTCATTTTTTTTCCTGCAGGAAACTTCACAACTTTTAAATAAGGCATTAAGATCTGAGAGTGATGATGAGCTAGGACAACTTCAGATAATTACCATATCTTGACTTAAAAGAAAGAGAGGACTCTCTTGATTTGTCCTAGTTGGGTGCAAAGTCCCTCTGTCTAAAATGAGTTCTCATTTCTCTGGTGGGAAAACACAACACTCCGTGGAGTCTGAGGCTTGCAAAAGGTGATACTCACCTTGGCAGAGCCAGGAAGACCTGCAGTTTATCCCAGGAATCTCAGCCAGGCAGTCCTGAAGACCTGGTGAAGGTGAAAAGAAATTATCACCTTGAGCAAGCTGTGAAATCTGAAATGTGATGCACGGGACAGTTCTGCAGGCTGCTCAGCAACCTGCTCTGAATGATGAGCATTTACACATTGTCAGCCTTGGTTTAGCCACAGTCACCTGTGAGTTGCTGCCTTCTGTGAGGTTTTCAGCACGTTCATCTGCTTCTTTGGACTCTTTGCAGGGTCAGCCCGGTGATCTGGGAGCTCAGGGGCCAATTGGGTCCTTGGGATCTGCAGGACCTGCTGGTCTGCCAGGGGAAAAAGGACTGAGAGGTGAGAACGGGCAGCCTGGACCAGCTGGACAGAAAGGTGATAAGGTAGGAAACAGCACAGACTGCTCTTTTAGGTATATACAGTGTGTGATGTTAAATGTTGGCTAGTGAAACTAAATTCTCACTGATATAATTACGGCATTCTTGAAAAAAAATATTTCAGGAGTTTTTTGCTGCAGATTACAAAATTAAAATTGTCAGAAGACATAAAAATATTAAAGAAACTCAGTCTCTCTTACGTACCATGTCATTCTCCTTAACCTCAAATAGGTTTGTGGAAGAAATGTGGGGCTGGAGGGAGCATTTGGTACTTTTAAAAGTGCTGCACTAAACAGAATTTTATTGCCACTTAAGGGCATAAATTGTAGTCCAGATTCATATCTTTCACAGTTGTACAGTCCCTGTGCTCCTGGTACTTAATATTAGTTTTAATGGTCTAATTCCACTGACCTCAGAGGATGACTGAAATCAGTAATGCCAGTAACTGGCACACCTGAAAACTTAGGTGGTATAAATAAAAATAATAATAAATAAAAATTGTGCTGCTGGTAATATCAAAACAGGAGCAGGATTGTGAAATTATGTACAGAATTAGTTTATAAGTTACAGGCAACTTCCTCTTCTCTGTGACTTTATAATCTTAGGAGAATGAATGAGTATGAGTGTGAGACATTTGTCCTGTGCTGCACCATCTGTCACATGTTTAGCTATTGGCACTAGTCCTCTGCTAAGCCCATGTAAGTTTTTTTTCAGGTCTTTATTTCTGACAGTTACAGCTTTTGACTCATATTTCAAACAAGAATGCTTTTTGTTTCTTGCTATATACTATCACATATTCTAGGTTTTCTTTTTTTTTTTAATATTTAATGACCTTGGCAACTTTGTTTTTTCGTATCACCTGTTTTTAGGGCCCAACTGGAGTCCCAGGATTCCCTGGTTTAGATGGTGTTCCTGTACGTATTAAATGAATGTTTCTTTTTAAAAATTGCAGTTCCTATAAAGTCACAGCAAGTCCTCTAACAGAACAATACACTCAGTTAACTGTTGGGCTTTATACCCATTGATATCATGTCATCTACAGAAGTACATGTTTTGTGCAAAAATGCAAAATAACCACCACACAGACTCTATAGCAGGTTGTGGTCTGCTTGATGCATTCTTAACATCTCTGGGAACACCTCAAAGGTACTCAATGTCTCTGGTGACGTTTCTGTTTTCTGTTCAAATGTTCTGATTTTTCTGTGTAGTCCTTTTGCAGGAAAAACCCAACCACTGATGTACTTAATTTTAGCCTGAATAGCAAAGTGGCTCCTAAATATATCTTTATAAGCACGTGATTATATATTTTGGGGAAGGTCTTCCTCAGCCTGAAAATGGGTGTGGTAAAAGAGATAACACCTGACACCCAGCATTTTTCAAAATACCTATTAGAACTGGATTCCTGTGTTCTTACTAGTTTCCTGTGAATCAAAGTTAAAATGTTGAATTTTGAAAGTGAAAAAAAAGAAGCAAAAACCGAGTGGGCGTCGTAGCATCTGCTTGTCAGCTGTCCACACTTGACAGTAGGGCTGCTGTCAGAATGTGAAGGCACAAAAATAAACAAAAAAATAAAATAAAATAAAAAAGGGTTCCCAAGAAATGCATATTCCTTTCCTGAAAAATGTCCATTAAAAAATGGTGTCCACAAATTGGGATGAAGAACTTTAAAGAAGTTAAAATGGACAAAAATATAGGCAAATGACCAAGATACTTTCCTGATGATTTTTCAGACCACCCTCCAAAAATAATTTTGGGGTCAAAATTAATATTTGTCCCTTACAAAAATGTTTAATTCTGCAGAAATAATTTTTTTTTTTCTCCAGTGGGAGGATCATTCCAAGAAAAATCTCACTGTTTGTATTTCCCAGTACCTAACTTGGAGTAGAACTAATCCTCATCTGGACACTGGTTAGGTCTTGCTAATAGGTTAGAAAAGTCACAATCTCTGCTATTGCTCTGTGCCTGAGTTGAGCTGGGTCCTGTTTTTTCCTTGTTTTATTGTATCAGTTAAAAAATGTGAGGCTGTTCGAGACGCCTTTTTGGGTCTTTTTCAGCTTTTCTTTACAGCCACAGAAAAGGTTAGAGGTAGAGAGGGAGAGTCTGCATTCTCTGAGAAGACAGCACATTAATTTTTTAACTCAAGTGAGAGTTCAGTCCGGTCCTCTTAACCACTATTTGCTGTGCATCAAAAAAACCCAAACAAAAAACTTATATCATTTGTTCTACAGAAAAAAAAAAAAATCTATTCAGAATAGAAAACATTTCTAATGCAAAGAATACGAAACTGGGACCACTGTGAGGTGTCCTTGGATTCAGATCTGAGGTATTTGTTTCTGAACCGTTCTGTTAACTTAAAAAATAATCCCCCATTTATCCTGCTGCATTTTTAACAAACATTAAACTGTCTTTCAGGGATTACCAGGAAGGGAAGGACCCAGAGGCAAGCCTGGCTTGGATGGCTACAACGGCTCGAGGGGAGATCCAGGATTTCCAGGAGAAAATGGTTATATGGGCCCGAGGGGTCCTTATGTACGTGCAAGGCATTCCTGCCACTCCCAAACACTGCCCATCTGCATTCACCTCCCACAGAACAGCTGCTTATCTGTATATGTATATCATTTCACTGGAAAAATGTTTAAAATTAGCCCTTTAATATTTGCTTACTTTTGCTGGTAAACTGGAAAGCATTTTAAAATCGTTTAGGTGGCTTTGTTTAGCAGCGCTCTGCTAATGAAGATAAAACAGATTCGTGTCAGTCAGGGACGTAAATTACTGTAGCTCCAAAGAAATTTTGCTGAGCTGGTTTAGTCCCCAGTCTTCGACTTTTCCTGGAAACCAATTTTAATTCTGAAGGAATAATAGCTGATAAGCTGGTTTAAGAGCTTTCCTGAAATTTTCCAAGCAAAACAATAAAGCTGACTGCAGTTTACATGAAAAATCCAATGTGTTTTGTAGGAGCTAAATAAGGTGCTGAGGTCAGATATTAAAAAAAAAAAATGTGCTGAGGGTGCCAAAGTGAAAAGATGTTATCAAAAATTATAGCAATTAGAATAAAATACAGTTTCAGCTTTGGACTTGTAATAAATGCTATGAAATACACAACATGATAAAAAACTTATTGATAATCTCATTTGTTATACCTCTGAAAGTAACTCATGAACCTTCCAAATGTTAAAATTACTTCTGCTCAAACTCTAATTTCACCTGTACTTTCTTACTTATTATGGCCTTCAAAACAGAGATTTATTTTTTTGTAATTAGCCAAATAACATAAAGGAAAAATGAGACATGGGACAAATTACAGAGTCAATCCTACCAATTCCAGGAGCCTGCTCTTTGAAAGGACTAGGAAAGTATTTGCCACCTACAAAAACTGGCAGACACAACAGGCCTGTAGCCTTGGATATGCATACTAAAATCCCAGGGGAAATTAATTTAGCTACCCAGAAGGACAAGACATACTAAGCATATTTTCTTGTGTACAAGAATGCTGTTCCAACCTCTCCATGCACACTGCCTGTTTTTAAATCGATTTGTTGCACCAAGTACCAACTTGACTGTACATGATGGCTAACATTTTTATCTTATTCTTATTTATAACATTGTCCTGCTTAATTTAATTCAGCACCACATTGAATTAAATTTATCAGGTTTACTTCTGGAAAAGTAAAGCTTTAACTTGTTGGAAAAGAAAGAAGCTCCTGTTTGTAAGCCCCTACACCTAAGACATGTAGAAGATAAACTGAATCAGCTGTAACTCTTCTTTTTATTGTACTATTTTAGGGATAAGCACCTTTGAACAGCCAGTGGATAATATCAGGAAACCTGTACAGTCTTAAAGTGGTTAGCAGTGTCCCATTTTATTGAAATCAATAGTTAAGTGGCTAACTCAGTTAAATTATATCCACTGCATTTGGATTTCAAATGAAAAAACTCCAGAGACAATGTCTTTATAAATCTGCTCTTCAGTAGACACATATCACAGTAAATTAAGTAGCACAGTTAAGTTTTGCAAAAGAAATCATCTGTTCTTGCTAAGTCTGATTGAGGTTTTGAAGGTGCTAAACTTACAAGTTTTATAAAGGACCACACAGCAAGTATCATGGAAATTTAGTTTTAAAGAAAACAGGAACTTTAGGCATCAGACTTTTTTTTTTAATAGACCGAAACATGTTTCCTAATAGATGGAAATATTGAATATTATGCATCTAATACAGTCCACACTTTCATTTTTCTAACTGTATGCAGAATCACTCTGAATTCTTCTAAATCACAACATGAACTTTGGGAGAAGGCAGATTGCTGATACTTCCAGTCACTGCCTTACTGAGGAAAGGCAGGCACAGCCTGAGAACTTATCATTCAACCTCTATGGAAATGTAGAGTATCAGGAAATGGATCATGTTTTAACAGACTTTTTTTTCTTTAAAGGGAAATCCAGGGCAAAAAGGAGAAAAAGGAAATTCAGTGTACGTTGCACGTTTTGGAAAAGGACCTCCAGTAAGTACCTGATTGCAAAGAAAAATCATAACTTGTAGGGAAACATATGTGGTGAATGTAATTGTTCCATTACTCCTCACTATTTAATAAAGCTTGCTGCAAAAAAAAAAAGATTAAAAATACATTAAATACAACTGTAACAGATAGCTTAATATCTATAAAGATAGAAAACACCCACAACAAAGCTTGGGCTGACTCATTTGCTAAATGATTGTCATTCCAGGGAGAGAGAGGTGATCCTGGCCCCCCTGGCACGCCCGTAAGTACAGTCAGTAGGTTCTGGGCCTACTTTTTGGCTTGAAGATCTTTAAAATTTTCCTCTTCAGTATAGTAAGAAATGCTGGGGTTTCTCCTTGCCTGCCTTAAATAGCAAAATTCCAGAATAAAGTCATAGAAACGTGGAGTCCCTCTACTCTGCCCCATGGCCAGTTCCTGAGGGCTGAAAAGGATGAGAACTGGGCTGTGCCCACCTGGGTTAGCTGTGTATGGAGCAGATGATGCCCTGGTACTCACAGTTTGCAGAATATTTTCTCCATGATAATCAAGATGTGTAGAGATGTGACACCTTCTTCCACAGGATCTGGTGGATCTCCCAGGAACAGGTAGCACAATATTCTGGCCCTAAGGACATAAAAGAAGAAGAGAGGGTTTAATTGTGTTGCTGAATCCTGCTCCTCATGGCTTTGGGGTTCTCTTATGCCCTTCACAAAGGTATTCACTGATGAACTGTATCAGCTCCCCATATTGTAGCACAATTGCTGCAAAATTATGGTATTAATTCATTAATAACAGGTAACTGTGCCTTGTCCACTCCCTGTCCAATGTTACCCAGCTGCTCTGGTCACAGTGAGGTTTCAGGCGTGGGAAAAGCCCCTGGCCATGGGTGGGATCCAGAGGCCAGCAGACTTGGGTCCATGTGATGCAGGCATTTTGCAGGGGCTGGTTTTGTGGAAAAAGGGGGCAAGTTCTTGGTATTTTCACAAACAGACCTTTTTTCTATCTTTTCCAGGGACCTAGAGGGGCAAGAGGTCCACCAGGCCCAGCTGGATACCCAGGCCATCCAGGCTTGCCTGTAAGACCAACACAGCGAAAGAGCCTTACATTTTTTTGGATGTGCATAAATTCTGGTCTAGCAGTTTTAGAACCTGCCTTAATGTGATACAAGGTCTAGAAGTAATGTTTGAGACAGGTGATTTAAAAAAAAAAAAAAAAAAAAAAAAAAAAAGATGGATTTTTTGCTTTACCTTATGAATTTGGAAGTTGAGGAACTGGAGCATTCCATGTTCTTTCCCATGTCTGCATCCTGGAGGTCTCTGGGCACGGAAGAATGCTGCTAGTGCTCTCTTCTTATTCCCTTTCCCCAACACCACCTGTGGGAGACAGGAAACGGGGGAAAACCGAGTTCAGCAATCCCAAAATCAGTTACCAATTGAAGTAAATAGCACTGTGGGATGGGTACATCCCAAGGGAAAATTCCATCGGTAGGTCCTGCTGGCAAGAGTAGGAAATTTTCAAAGCAAAGATGTCTCTAAATCAGACTTATTAACTTGCCTTTGATCTCTTTTAAAGGGTATTCCAGGTTACCCTGGTTTGCCAGGTGAACAGGTAGGCAATGACTTCTTCTGATGTTTTTATGAAACAATAGAGTAATTCATATGACTATTTGAAGTGCTCCTTATGTTTATTTGTTACCAAGTTTTTCAAGGGAGTTACTTGATTAAATTCTGATGCCAGCATTTTCTGATCACGTGCAAACTGTGTGCGTTCTTTGTCAATCAGGGAAATCCAGGTATTGGAGTGGATGGACAGAAGGGGGAGCCGGTAAGAAACCAAATAATATTGAATATATTATTGCTGCATGCAGGAATCAAGCATATTCTGGAGATTTTGAAAAGCAACAATCAATATGTTAGTTAGCATTTACGTAGCAGTAATATACAGTTTGCTGTACAGACATTGCCTAAATAATCCCACCAGTACCCTCCAGTGACTGTGCCTGGAGCAGAGCTGTCACTGAATCTCATCTGTTGCTGTGTCCAGCAAGAGATGCGAAGGAAAGGGTGTGAGAAAAGGACAAGCACATCATAATAATTCCCCCACCAGTCTCCATCCATATTACCTTTATTTATCTGCAGTTAATTAGTAGATTTTCAGTGAGTACAGAATATGTAGTGCTGCAGCACAACAGGAGAACAAGTTGAGTCTCACTGCAACAGTTCATGGCCCAGAATGTCTCTCCTTTGGCTTCCACAGGGTGACATTGGACTTCCTGGGCCACCTGGGTTACCACTCTTAGTTGGACCTCCTGGAGCTCAGCTGTTCAAAGGAGAAAAGGTGTTAATTTGTCATCGTATTTACCAGTGCTCAGCTTGGCAAGTACAACCCCGGGATGTCATTTTTTGCAAGGATGGCATAAGACAAATCTACCTTTCTGGAAGAAGCCATCAGCTTCATCAGAAACCCCGAAGGCTGCTCAGCACCCTTCCCACAAACTTTCAGGAGAGGAGACCCCAAGTGTACTTTAGCTTCAGGGAAGACTATCTTGATGCAGAAAGGAGACACTTGCCCTGTTTTTCAGACCAAGACTTTAAAAAAGTTAGCAAGCACATAGGCATATTCTGCATATTAATATACACAAAAACTTTCCTTTTATACACAGGGCCAGAAAGGATTACCTGGGGTAACAGGATACAGAGGGCCACGTGGACCCAAAGTAAGTAATGGGATTTTTTTTTTTTCCCCCCATGGTACTGGCAAAGTCCTTCCCTGGTTATTATGTTAATCTTGTAAAGCCCAGCATTTTTTTGCTGTGAAATTTAATCACCACCTAAATCGGTGTGAGAGCCAAATATTTCAAAACCCTTTGGAAAAATCTTTCCTGGTCTGTTTTATACCTACCTATTGAGCGTTGCCTGGTAGCAAAAGGTCTGTGTTGTTTGACACACAGTGGATTGGAACTGTGAAGAAAATAAAAGCACAGATTATTTTTCCTCAGGAAGAGACACATTTTTTATTTGATAAGATATTATTTGAATGTGTTCTTAATGGAGCATGATGTATGTTTACCTCAGCATGTCAGGGAGAGAATTGAACTTCCCATTAGGGATATCCCTCAAGGGCAGAAAAGGCACAGCCACCTGTTTGGAGAAAAATTTGTTCTTTAATGTCTATTCTACATTTTCTTTCTGTCCACATGAGTAATTTAAATATTGATGTGCCGCTTCCTGGATGCAGAATAGAATCATCCACCAAAAAATTCTAGGGTCTTCATTGCTAATAGATTTGGAGGGGGCAAATCCACAGCCAGGAAACTGCAACATCTCAGAAAAATGCAGGATAACTGGGGGCACAAGAATGAGGGTTGTTTATGTTCAAGTCTTGTTTAGCTTTGTAGGCAGAAGAGAAGAAACAAGAATTTCTGAGTTGTAAGTCTGGCACTCGTTTTTGGAAGTTCATTTTCCATCCTAAAAAGACAACTGTTAATTAGCATTGGAAAAGAGGACAAAGCTGATATTTTTATTTTGCATTTACATCAGAAAAAATGGAGTTTATATGCTTGCTCCAGTACTAGTGGTCCATACACCTGTTAGGCATCAGCAGGAAGTGAGAAATCAAGTGATGCAGCTCAAAACATGCCCAGAACTGAAATAAAAAATAAAAAAAAATAAATTAAAAAAACAACAAACAAAAAAAACCCAAACCAAACCAACCAAACAACAACAAAAAAATCTGAAAGCATCTGAAGTTTGGAGAAGAGGCCAGAGCAGGTTCCTCGAAGAGCTGGGGTTACTCAGGTACTGCTTAGTGATGCTGCATGAAGTGACTGAGCCTGGCAAGGGAGACAGGATCCATCAACCTAATATATATACATATATATATAATTTAATAAACCATTAAAATTTATGGCACACTTCACTGAGCATCTTGTTTAAACAAACTGCTTTAAATGCTCCAGGGTGTACTTGGGAGAGGAGAAAAGGGTGAAAAAGGCCTTCCTGGATTCCCTGGATTGCGGGTAAGGAAGTCACAGAATAAATTACATCACAAATTCTCTATAATTATGTTCACAATATATTTGGCAATTTGAGTTTGCATTCTCAAGGAAGATTTTAAGGATTTTTTTTTTTTTTTTTTAACTAGTCTGTCATGCTTCCTGTATAGAATATTTAGGACTCTTGCCCTGGGACTCCCCCTGTCTCAGACAAACATAAGCTCATACAGCCTTTCTGTCCTTGGAAAGAAAGTAAATCTCCAGAGTTATCCCTTCAATATTTAGAGCTGCACACAAAGCTGCTCTGGAGTAGTACTAACAGTAAATTTAATGTTTTCCATACATGTAAATGGCACTTTTTTACAGCAGCTTGTGCTTGATTTGCCTGACAGTGCTCACATTTTGTGTCCTTTTCTCATAGAAATTATTTGAAAACACTTTGCAAAGTTTTTTTTTGGAAATATCCCAAGTAATATGTATCTGAGTTACATTAACTGCTCAGCAGTTATGAATAGATTTAATTTGAATAAGTTTTGAGGGTTTTAGCTCACATTCTGCTTGCTTTTATCAGGGTCATCCTGGATCTTATGGACCTGCAGGTTTTCCTGGAATGAAGGTACAAAAAGTATAAATTATAAGCAGCTCCCTGAACAGTGGGATCAGCGAGGTTTGGTTTTCTGTGGATTTGTGCAGATTTGGAATTGCCACATACTTCACAGCTCACACTGCATTCCCTCCTTTCCCTTCTCTTACCTGTTGCCACAGAATTTTTATGATCTCTGTGTCTCTGAATTTCTGCCCCTCTCTGATCTTTGGCTGAAATTTGCTTGTGGAGCCTGAAGTTGCAAGGAGAAGGAAAAGTCAGTGGGACAGACACCCAGCATGACAGAAAAGTTATGCAGCATGTTAACTGTGTTTGCCATGGTGACATGGTGTCATTTTGTGTCATCTGCGTGTTTTGTTCATCCTTCCGGCTGAAGAAATTCCAGTTGTGATGTTAAGTCTGCTAAATTTTACTTCTGAACTTAAAACATCCTACTGGGGTAAAGAAACAACAGATGTGTGTGTAGAGATTTATATCCTGCCCTTTTTCCTGTCCTAACACAGGAGATTCAGTCAAACACAACATCTCTTGCACAAACCCAGGGAATTTTCTGAGATAAACTGTGGGTGCAATTAGAACATGACAGTATTGTTTGACTACTAATTATTTTATGTGATCCTTTCCAGGGTGAAATGGGCTTTGCTGGTTTTCCTGGGCAGCCTGGCTATCCAGGCATACAGGTAAAAAAAACACCACACGTGCACACAACCCTCTAGAGATGCTACCAGTTCCTCCCAAAATGTACCCAGTTATCAGATCATTCCCTTTTATACAGTCATCATTTCCTTTTAATGTTTACTGGTTTCCTGATGGTCACAGTTACTCAACAATTGGACTCCACATCAGCTGTGGTTAAACATTCTCTACTTTTGCTCACTTAGATGACACTAATTATGTTTTTATTTTGTGATAAGTGCTGCTCTACATTAGGGATTAGAAGCAGGTGTCACAACCCCCTGGCCAAGCAGTAAAAGAGTGAAATATTAATCTATAAAGCGGGGAAGAGATGCTTAAAACAATCTCAGAAGACCCAAGTGCCACTCTGGTGACATTTCATGACATGGGTTTATGGAATTGCCTTCTGGAGGCTACAGAACCAGTGACAGTGTAATTCTGACTGCTGGTCATACTGAGTAACAGCAAAAAACTGGAATGAAGGGAATTACTGTATTTTCTGTGGAATCTGAAGCACACTTAGAAGGAAAGAGCAGGTCTGGATGCTCCTCTAGAGGGAACAAAGCAGCAGAGAGTCCAGCCAGAGGGGAAGGACGAGGGAGTGCCTGGGATAGGGTCCAAGCAGTCAGCATAGATTAGCCAGAGGAGAAGGAAAACACTGCAAACCAGAAGGTAAATGACACAATCATCAGTAGAGACAGCAAGGTTAAAAAAGGTCATCACCAATATCAACACAGTACAGAGGACAAAAAACAGCATTGCAGAAATTGTGACACTAATGAACTTGGCTCTAAATATTCTGGAATACCAAAGTTAAAGGCTGTTTATTTCCCTCTGAAATAATCTTTTTGGAAAGCTGCATATAAAACAGTGTATTTCCTTAGAGAGATCTGGGCAAGAATCACCTCTGTTGTAGACTGAATTTTAAGACTGGAACACACTCTATATAATCTGTGATGACACAAGGAAGTAAACTGAGGCTGGTCCAAACTTGTCATGAGCAACAAACAGGTTTTGAAGGAGCACGTTTACCAATGAGAAATGACAAAGACATGAAGTAAATAAGTAAAAGCACAATAAAAACATCTGGTTTAGTCAGACTTACTTGTTTCAAAGTTAGGCCTGCCAAGAGAATGCTAAATCAGCTTCTTCAGCCAAGATTTAATTTATGAGGTCATACCTGGGGGGGGGGGGGAGAAATTGCCCACGGATGTTACTTTTTCTCCCATTTGCCCATTATCAGCTTCACAACAATGTGGGATCATTTAAGACACTAATTAGACAGAAACACTGCATGTTAAAACAGAAGATTCATTGCAGTCCATTACTCCTAAAAAGTAGAATCGAACCTTAAGTGTTTTGTTGGTAAAAAGTTCTCACCCTGAGGTACATATTGTTTTAGTTTTCATTAACAAACTCGAGGCAAGCAATTTTATAGACAGAATAGGACATTCTTCAGACTCCACTGATTAGCCATCAATCAACAGTAAACAAAAATAATTAATTGCTGGTAGATTATCCTTGGGAGAAGTGTGAAGTCCTGCAGCGGTGAATCAGAAAGATGAAATTACAGTTGCTGGTGCAAGGAGCAAACAAATCAAGTATAGACACAACTTAACAAAAACCAGGTGTACTCAGGCAGATATGCAAAATTCTGAGTGATTGCACAGATGCTTTAGTATTGCTTGGGAAACAATTGGAGGAATCTGATTGTTCCTGAAAGGAGCAGATCTATCTACCCTTCATCAGCTGCTCATCCAGCCTCACCAGCTGTTGCTTATGGATCTGTTAAAAATTACATGGACTGGAGGAACAAAAATATGATTAAAAACACACCTGGGAATAGCCAGTCCTCACAGAGTTTTCTGAAATAAACATGCTTAGAGATTCAGAAAAAAAACCCAACAGTTTCTTTCGAAGTAGATTTCATCTTTAAGAAAATGTTACCTGTTGCTAAAACCAAAGAATGGTCTTCAAGGAATTGTTGTCACACCTTTTGATCCCCGAGTTTGCACATTGGCAACACTGGGTTGTTTTTTTTAAATAAACTGTTGGTAAATTGAGTCTCCTAAAATTTTTATGGGAAAACAGTGTCAGTCAACAAAACAATCCAAATATTCAGCTGCCATCCAGGGGGTCATTAGACCTGAGAGCCTGAAAACAGTCCTCAATCAGAATTTGTCACTTAAGGAGATGCCAAGAACAGACATGTTTGACCTTGGCTCACTGGCTCCTCAGTATGTTCTTGTGTTCTGCTGGTGTCATTTTAAAATCAGTATGAAAATCATATAAGACTTGGGCCAAATACTTTTATTGTACAAATCTTTGATACCTTTATCATTAAATTAATTTTAAATCTCAAAATCCTTTGTAAATTTATCAGTGGGGGGGAAATGCTAGGTTTGCTTTTTCTTTCCTGCAACACAGAATGTTCTTCTATGCCATTAGGAAAGACAAATTTATGTTGCTGTTTAAAAGAGCCAAAGATGACACAAGGACAGTTTTTCATTTTGAAAGACACAGTCAAAGGGAAAAAAAAACAGAGGTCAAGAGGACAGCAGCCAGTGACAGCTCCAAGACAGTTTAATTACTGGAAAGATATCATTTTTTTTTTAAAAAAAGGCCAGAAAAAGGGATGGACTCCTTGTTTTTACTTATGTAAGAATGGATATCCAGTTTTGCAGTCCCAGTTCTCCTTGTCCGTGTCCTAAAGGGACCTGAACTCCGGCCCCAGGAATGCAGCCCCACACACGGTTCCCACACTGACATTCTTATTTTCTCAGTTCCCATTCCCTCAAAGAGCAGGGCTGATTCCTAATCTACAAAGCAAAAAGTTTAATACAATTTGCCACATAAAAGACTTTCCCTAAAGTCCACTTCACTTGCAATTCTAAGTATCAAAACCCAGGCTAATTTAGGAATCCTCCAAGCAGAACTGATTTTCCTCTCCATTAGGAGCCACTTTTATGTTTCCCCAATGCAGATGTTTTAAACTTGGAGTATCTGTTAGACCGAGAAACCATTTTTCTCAAAGGTTATCTTTCATCATAGAAGTAATTTCTTAATTCTGGTATAGAATATTAAGGCAAATAATCACAGCTGGGTTGTTAAATCAGAATCTCTCAATTAAATGGGTACTGATTTACTGTGACTGAGTCTTCTTTACAATGAAGGAATGAAATCAAATACAGCAGTCACACATCCTGGAGAGTCCAATAGATATGTGGGATAGGTATATTGCTGTTTAGTCACTGGTATTGTGAAGAATAATGATTATTTTAAATCTTCTTGCTTGGTTTTAAGTGCTATAAAGTGTCAAATCAAGTTTCCCTGCTGATGTGTGTCACATCCTCACATACCTTACCACTGTTGAAATGTTCACTTACATGCTGGTACACTGTGTATTTGTATCTATCAGTAAAATTTATTATTGGACTTGCAGGGGGATCCAGGAGAAAAAGGGCCCCCAGGTCCTCCTGGAGCTGTTGGGACTCCTCCGCTTCCTATTAAAGGTGATATTTAGTTTTAACTGTTTTTTCTGCTGTATAAAGTGTGGGACCTGCTTTGCTGAGGGGTTTGAAAGTGGTCACTTGGTCACCAGGGATTCAGGGGACAGGAGCCTGAACCATTCACATCCTGTGCTGTGCTTGTTTGTCTCGCTGATCTCACTGGAACTACATTAAACGTAACAAGTTTAACGAAGTTAAAAATTGCCACAGTTTAAATTGCCTCAACACAGGTTTTTAGCTTACAATTAAGCTTCCTATTGCATAGCAGAGGAAAATTTTGGAACTAGAACCCTCACCAGAACACCTGTCCATCTTATGACCCGCCTATCTAAACCTCAGGCTGGGTTTTTATGTCCCAGCTCCCTCTATCTCCATCTTTATCATCTAATGGGTGAAAGGATGGGAGGAAATTTTATTGCATAGCAGGAAGCAAGAGGGAACAACCAGGTTTGCTGCCTTTTGCATGTAACACTTGGGGAATCTGGGCTGTGAGAATGTTTTAACAGAGAAATCACCATAAATTGTATTCTTACCAATATTTTGTTGCTCCAATTTATTGAAACTGTTTATATCTGATTCAGGTTTTCTTTAGCAGTACATAATTGCAATCTTAAATTTTATTAATTGCAGCAATTTTGAAAATATACTTTGGAAAATTTGGATAATATCAACCAAGACAATCCTGAAATGACCTCCCTGTGTGCTCTGCTAAATAAGGATAACATGAGATGCAAGTTTATTTTAAATGCCAAGTGCTTTTATTTTAGGCAAACACTTCTCTCAGCATTCTGAAATATGTAGCACAAAGATACTACTACAGGGTGATGAAAAGTTAAAAACGTGCCCACAAAATGGGCTGGAATCCGTAGAAAAGTGACCAAATCCTCCCACCTTAAAATTAAACTGTTACACGTTTAAAAATGTTTCATAAATTACTTTACTCTTACGTAGCTTCCAAATTTTCTTTTTGATTTGAGTTTTATTTAGATTTAATCTGTCAGTAAGGTGTTCGACTCACATGTTTTTATAATTCCCTGTAGGTCCACGAGGAGATCCTGGATTCCCAGGCCCTGCTGGTGATATGGGGTCAGTTGGGCCAGTGGGTCCTGCAGGCCTGCTAGGAAGACCAGGATATGATGGAACAAGTAAGAGAAGGGGGGGGGGGATAAAATATGAACTAAATGGCAGCAGTAGAGAAAGCAACTAAAAGAAAACTACTTTGTAAGGCATCAGCAATAAGGATTTGAGCTCTACAGATTGCTCAGTAAAAGTTTAAACTGAGCACTCAGTGGCCAAAGAAAAGAATTAAAAGTTATCCAAGCAGAGCATCAGGAGATACCAGAAAAGGAACAGGAGGCAAAGGAGAATATTGCCATGCACTGTAAACCCATGGTGTGCCTCTACCTGGAGTGCTGTGCTCAAAAATTCTGTTCTCCATCTCAAAAATATATAAAGGAAAATGCTCAGGATGACTTTCCTCTGTACAAGGAATGAGAATAAGTGGGATAGCTGGAAAAGACAACAGAAGGGAGGAGGAAAAGAAGCATTTGAAGGTCTGAAGCAGAAGTTTTCCTTTCCTGGGGATCCTGGAAAACCTGAAGATGTAGATTTAAGTCTTTGTTATATGGAAGCTGTTTTTTCAGGACAGTTCTACATGCTCTGTGTTTCCTCCTCTCTGTTATACCTCACAATAATCACTAAGAACCTGTAGAGGCTTCACACTTTTCTTTTTTCCAGGTCTCCCTGGCCTGCCAGGGGTAAGTGGGGCACCAGGACCTCAAGGTTTTCAAGGTGACCCTGGTTTGCCTGCAACAGATGAATTAATCCCAGGAAGACCTGGAGTTCCTGGACCACCAGGCCTACCAGGGCAGCCTGGAAGACAAGGCTTACCTGGACTACCCAGTAGGTTCAACAGCAATTCATGTATTAAGAATGTAATTCGGCAGGTTAATAGATCCACTGCTTTTGTTGGTCCCACAAAAAACACAAAGGTGAAAAGTGCATTTTGACAGATATATCAAACTTTAAATGGGATGTTGAAAACATGTTTTTTTCTATGAGCTGTTGATGAGTGAGATTTCAAGATTTTCAGAGTTTTCTGGGTGATTTAAGACCACAAAAGTAACACGTATAAAAGCAATTCTCTAAAAATATATCACCTGAAGTTAAAAACACAGTAAATTGAAGAGGAAGCCCAAATCAGCATCCTTTAGAAAGGAAAAAGTAAACTTCTAAGTGGAAAAAAGTAGTAGTGGCAATGAAAATCCATGTGTCAACATCGACTTGAGTCATCCTGACTCTTGGAGTATAATCTATAAACAACACTTGTAAAGCATTTAACAAGATCTCTAACCTTTCACATGAACATAACAAGATAAGGGAGAGGAGAACACACAACCTGAGCTGTGGAAACAGCCAACCTAATTCATACCTGCTGGACAATTTGTTTTTGGAAAGGTGTGATCTGTACTGACAGAGGAATCACTGGAGAACCCGGAGCAAAAGGTCAGATCGGCCCTCCAGGAAGGAAAGGTGCAAAAGGAGAAAAGGGTAAGTTTGCCTGGATAACAGGACATCTCAATATGAGAGCTTTGCCAGTTTTAAATGTGCAAGAATTTTATGGTAACTCGGTGGACAAGGCCCATCAAAGTGCAGCCTTAAATGGCCTGTGGGCACCGGGGCTTCTGAGCCAGCTGATGATGTCAGTGCAGCAGTTACTCAGCGCCGATGATGCTCCACCTCTCTGAAGGGAGTCAAACAAGATGAAATGGTCTGGGCTCTACTCACCCAGAAGAGAAAAAAAAGGGCAGCAGCATTTTTTGTGCTTTAATTTTGCAACATTTTCAGTGTAACTCTGACCCGTTCCTGTAGGAAGTCAAGGCCTCTGCTCGTGTGCTGCTGGTCCTCCTGGTGCCCGTGGTGTGCAGGGACCTCCAGGTGCTCAAGGAAAGAAAGGACAGATGGGATACCCTGGAAGACACGGAGAAAAAGGTGACCCAGGCTCAGCTGGGGCAAGGGGATCACCAGGGCTCCCTGTGAGTAGTTTTCATGAATTTCAGTAAATAAGTAACATCAACTTAACTCTCATCTCACAAGGCATTTAAACAGAGTAGAGGAGAAAGTGGCCTGGAAAACTATCTGAAACTTTTATCTTTTTTTTGCTTATTACAGTCCAGTGAAACGAGCTATTACATTTAGACTCATTTTCTTTAGTGTGCTTCGTACAGTTTATCTCATTCCCCCCAGTGAACAATAATTCAAAGCACCGCTTAACAGAACTGCTTTAAAAACACTTCATAAGAGAAATTATTGGACTTGCTGTGATTTTGATCCACTTGTTCTGGTCTGGCACGTGGAACAAACATCCAGGATGCTGCATTACCAAAATCATGCTAAATAGAGGGGTTTTTAAGGAATTTCTTTGAAAATATAGGCAGATATGCCTTCCTTTATGGCTGTTGCATTATGGTTGGGGTTTTTTGTTTGTTTAGTGGGGGTTTTCTTGTTGTTGTTGTTTTGAGGAGGTGTTTTGGAGGTTTTTTTTGCTGTTTGGCTTTTTAGTTGTTGTTTTATTTGTTTTGGGTTTTTTTTTTTGTTCTTATTGGGGCTTTTTGAGATTTTGTTTTAATAACAGAACTCTTTTTGCACATGAGGAATTGCTTAAAAGTTTCCTGAACATTTTCTTCCAAAAATAAATTTAAAAAAAAAAATAAAAATAAAAAAAGGCAAACAAAACCATTGTGAGTCTGAAGGAAGGATGTGGAAGGGCTCCCTCATTCCAGTGCCAATGGTTCCATTACAAGCTTCACATTTGCTCTTTTGGGTTGGTTTTTGTTTGTTTGTTTTTCTTAAAACCTTTTACCTGAGTGGGTTATGTGAGATTTTGATCTTCTCGTTACTTTTGAGGGTATGATTTAGTCTTTGTGGTTTTGAAGCAAAGCTTGAAGCCTCGTCCTGAACATTTGGCTGTTCTTAGATTACTTAGGTGAGAAACAAGAACAAAATAATCACTTAGGAAGAAAATAATTCACTTCCATACAGACGTGTTTGGTTTAATGCACTACTTCTCTTCATTTTTCTGCTCTCCTTTCTTCACAAATATCCTATTTTTCTTTTCAAACACTAATAACTAAAGATCTAAACATTGTAAGAAGCAGTCACTGCTAGTTTCAGACACAACATGTTTTTCAGAATTCTCTGTCTGATTTACAATTCTCATGATTTATAATCACATTATATTTTCTCCACCTATTTTTTTAGTGAAAGATTTTGAATAGCAAATGAAGCTGGCTGAATAACACCCCAGTTTTTGCACAAATCAGCATAAAAATACAGAAAACCACTTCTTTTCTCCTCTAAACCTGTCAAGTCACAGACTCTTCTGACAACACCTACCTAACTAGATGCAGTGGTAGCTTTGTGGTTTTTCACTCAGAAAAACAAAAAAAAAGCATCACTTACCTGCTGCTGTGCTCAGCTCTGGGAGGCCTCACCTTGCACTCACCACACTGCAGGGATTCCCTTCCTCAGCAGATTGGGGATTGAAATCTGCAGTGGGAGGAACAGTTTGTGAATCATTAGGGTTTTAATACTGCATTTGCAGTCACACACACATATCTGCAGCCATGCACTCAAATCTTCAAGATTTACAGTTTATTTCAGTTGTGCATCCCTGCCTTTGGCAGAGTCAGGCTGAGAAGGCCAGGTGCCACCCACACACCTCTTTATAATCACCAGAAGAGATAAGTGTTTCTTTTTGGCAGGTCACTTGAACTGGTTGGTTTTGGGAAACCAGGCAAGAGAGAGAGATCTAATTTCCCCCTCAATCCCCACATTTATTCCTTGCTGGAAGTATCTGACAGCTTTTTTTTTTCCTTGTCAATGGTAAGGGGATCCCTGGTTCTGCTGGACAGCACGGTGAAAAAGGAGAGAAGGGTGATCCAGGAAGAGTCAGGATAAAAGGTAACCACACATTTTATCTTTAGCCTTTTTGTTTCCCATACAGTGTTTAGGTAACAGCGTCAGAAAAACATACTCATCTACTCTTGAATAAATTCATTAGTTCATTCATTAGTAAGTTACTGAAAGCTAGAGGGCATGTTTGCCCAAACTGCTTTCTTGGTACCATGTCTTCTCGCTAAACACAAGATCAACACAGCATTTTGTGGTTCTTATTCTATAGTTGAGCCATAAAACAGTTTGAACAGCACATTATTAATGCTAACAAATGATTTTTCATGTCCTGTGATTGATAGCTGGGGTCTTACAGAGGTCTGTACAGCACAGGCTCAGCAGAACACAAATACTGTGAAAACATGCAGAGATACAGAAAATTGTACAGGAGCCACCTCCTGCAGTGTCATATATCAACTTACACCTCAATTTACACCAACAACCTTCTTGGGAAAAACTCTGAGTTTCAATGACTATTCACATTCCTGCCCCTATTTCTAAAAATTACTCTTGACCAGGCATTGAAGAGAAACAATAGGCCACTGGTTGCACAACTGAAATTCTTGTAATTAAACAGATCAAAACCTCTCCACAGTTATGGTTATGATTTGCAAAAGCAAAAGAAACAGAGAGCAATAAATTGCAGCAATCTGAAGGCAAAGCTTAGTGAGAAATGCAAAACTAATTACTCAAACAAAAGATTGTCCATCTTATTGTTTATAAAGAGTTAGCTTAGCTTTGGATGCCTGTGGGGTTTTTTTTACAGATGTTGGAGAGGGGAAAACATTTTCTTTAATTTGCAAAGGATTTCTTGACGCAGTAAAAGTTACATTTTCATAAATGTGAGTGCAAGAGAAATATTGATGCAAATATTCTGCATCATATGAGATTGCTACATCCTGATTTTATTGAAATTAAGAATAAAACTCAGACTGATTTCAGTATTTTAACTCTCTGTGTAGCATGAATAAAAGCCACATTCTTGTGGTGCCTCTGAATGAGTCTTTTACAGAGAGACCAAGTTGTTCCATGAGGTTGGAACTAAAGCCTTCCTAAGTCTAAAATAATTCACCAAGGAAATGGGAATTCAAGGATTGGGAATTATCCTGCAGATGTGATGAGTGGTTAGTCAGCATTTACCTAAGAAGAAATAACCTCCACCTCCCCCCTCCCCCAAAAAATAATTATTGCAAATATTGTACTTCTTTTTCCTTTCATAATATTTTAAGGATTAAAAGGTGAAAGAGGACCTACTGGGGTTCCAGGATTTCCAGGCCAGAGAGGTCTTGATGGCAGAGATGGGGAACTAGGATTGCCTGGGGAAAAGGGAGCCGAGGTATGTTTGGCTTTCCCAGAATTCTCTTCCCTTTCAATTAATGTTATTATCTTATGAAAGGTTATGAAAGTTTTTATCCACTGAAAAATTATTTTCTTGTAAGTATTATTGCTTATTTTGGTGTTTCTGAATATAATTTCTGCATATACTGTGCCCCAATATTATGGGATCAGGGAACAAAAAAATCCACAAAGCCCCTTGTTCCTATTGCCCTTAAATATTTTACAATGCTAACATCATCCACGTAGTCTCTAAATTGTAGAAAGTGGTTTCTCCAGATGATTCTCTAATACACTTTTTCATCATCAAAGAGAGAAGAGAAATTATCTCTTGTTACTTCTTACCAACACGTTTTATTTCAGGGCGACACTGGAGTCTCTCTCCCAGGTGATAAAGGATTCCCTGGGCTCCCAGGACCTCCTGGGGTGAAAGGACAGATAGGATTGCCTGGTTTGGGGTTTCCTGGCCCTCCAGGAGCCAGAGGTAGCCCTGGAGACTTTGGTGATCCTGGTAATGTTGGGCCACCTGGGCCAAAAGGCCAGAAAGGTAATTTTGAGTTTATATTAAGAATGAAATAACAAACATACACGTTTGGTGGCATCCACTACAGTTTCATATGTGCTACATAAAATGTTATCCATTTATAGTGAAGATGTTATTTGTTTATAGGAAAATACAAGTTATATTTAAGGCTTGGTCTGTTTTTTTGCTTATAAAAAGTGCTTAGCCAAGCAAAAACATCTACAGTGATAGTGATATGTATGAACCAGAACCATACATAGAATTGAAATGAAAATATGATTTCTTTCTTGCACTAAAGACAAATTTCCAAGACAAGTAAAATAAAACTAAACCTTTGTCTTTAAAATCTACAACTGCATTACAACAATTTGAAATACAACCAATATTATATAGAAAGCGTTGAAGGAAAATATATTTTAAGATTCTCCATCAAAACTTAAAGAATATGGAAATAACAACGTGCATAAACAGTCACTTCTCATTTGCACATCTAGTTGGTTAGTTCTACAGAAATATTACAGGAAGTGGCCAATTTCTTCTCCCTTTTGCTTCAGGTGACACTGTCTGCATCACATCACCCTACCCTGGAAGTCCAGGTCCCCCAGGTTTTAAAGGTGTTCAAGGTATGTTTATACACTGGGGAATTTTTGATTTTAATTGATATGGAGTTTTAAGTTGCTAATTTATTTTTTTTTTTAAAAAAAGAAGGTATCCTCAAAAGCTCCAGTATTCCACTTTTACTACAGATCCGTGCCTGAAAATGTAAAACTGCAAACACACAGGAGGATACTCCTCTAATAGAATCAAGGGCCAGACAGCTGCAGTTTGCATGATCAAAAGGTGTGCAGGCTGCCTCCATAGAAATAATTAAATGCAGGTAGTTTCAAACTCTGTCCTGCCTCAATTAAAATGCAGGAAAGAGTCTGCAAAACATGCAGATGGCTGGAGTTGGATAAAACCTGGAGTATGTACATCTGGATACTGGGAAAAGATGTGCAAGGCAAAAATACGCTGCAAGTCTGTAATTTCTAAAATTATATTGCTCGTGGCGAGTTGAAATTGAGCCCTAAAATCTGAGTAATTATTACCATTATTTCGACTTTTAAACTTAATTTAAATTCAAATAACTCACCCAGAGACTGGCAAGGCATTTCCTGTGATCGCCTCCAAAGCATTTGAAATTCCTCCGAAAATCCTGATCAGAAGAACTGGAGATAGTGGATTTTCAAGCCCCTTCATGTGGTATTACACAGCTCCCTGACATCAGTATGGTGGGTGGGAACAGCCTTTTATAACACAGCCACGAGGATTTATACAGGGATTGGTGTATTGAGCTCATCTGCACCATTCAAAGTAGATAAATTTTCATGGGATAAAGACACAACACTCAGATCACACATTGGAGCACTCTGCCCATTTATCTGTCTTTTTTATTCCCAGGACCAAAGGGTTTAAAAGGACTCCCTGGGCATCCTGGACCAAACGGCTTTGAAGGGCAAAAAGGCCGTCGAGGCAGACCAGGAGCAGGAATCCCTGGGCCAGAAGGTGAATTGTGCTTATTATTACAACCTGCTGGTCAGGTTGTGATATATAAATGCAAGGAAAGATAGATATACCATGGTAGCACACTGTAGCATAGAATACAGAATAAAATGCAAAGTTCAACATAAGCTAGCGGAACAGGAATCTTTACCAGTATCCCTTTCTTTACTCCAGCTTTGCAAGTGCTGCAATAACCTAAAGTTCAGTGTCCAGAGAGGAAATATTCTCAGAAAACTGGGAACAATTAGTAAAATTTTAGGAAGGGGACTAAACTGGACAAGAGTTACAGCCTTCAAGACAGATGCTGCCCCAAAGAAAACTGCTGTCACTTCCCACGGGATTTACCTCCTTCAATCCTCATGTATCATTAGCTACAAATGAGAAACCTGAAATTTCACGTGTGATGTTATTTTTCTTTGCAAAGTAATAATTTAAATCTAGTTAAATTTGGATTATAGCATTCCACTGCTCGGGGGAAAACAAACAAACAAAGCAACAAACACAAACCCAAACACCTCCTGAATCATGCCCTGTTTGAATTTAAAAATCCTCTCAACAGGCTTTCGAGGCACAGCTGGTGATCCCGGTGACCAGGGGGAAAGAGGATCCACAGTTGATGGTAAAAACGGCCCTCCAGGCCCACCTGGCACAGATGGTCAGAAAGGTCTTCCAGGTGACACCACGTATGGCCCTCCTGGAATCCCGGGAAACAGGGGACTGCCAGGACCCCCTGGAGCACAAGGAGCAAGGGGGAATCCAGGCATTCCTGGGCTTCAAGGTACGGGACAGTTTTTGTGAAACATATATCCATGTTCAAAGGGCAAGATCTGAGGAAAGGTGGTCCTGATTGAGATAAAACTCCCTGTAGGAACACCTGTAGAACTGGCCCCAGTGCTGTGCCCTGGTGCAGACCAGGGAGCTCCCCCCACTCTGCTCCTACTCATCAAAAACTATCACCCTTACCCAGAGATGAGGGTTGAATTCCTTACTGTTCCTCAAATAAAGAAGCTTTCCACACCAGCCAATCCTAAATGACAGGAGAGCATCAACTTTCACAAACTGGAAAAAACAGACGACAAGGAAGACCCTTCAGTAACTGAACATGCACGTTTCAAAATTAAAATGAGGAATTCTGAAGGATGGCGAGGAATGGAGCTAAAACATTCTATAACACTGTTTTTTTCCCCCCAGGACAACCTGGCACCCCAGGATTTCCAGGTGCCAAGGGTTTCAGAGGCCCAGAAGGTGATATAGGAGCACCAGGCTGTCCAGGCTTCCCTGGTCCACCCTGTGTCACGGGCTTACCAGGGCCACCAGGACTCCGAGGTGCCATGGGCCTGCCAGGACCTCAAGGTAGACCACATCCCCACGGGGTTGCCTCACAGCACCAAGCTTTGCACGTATTTTCAGCCAGATTTCATCACATGATATGTCTGTCACTAAAGAAATGAAAGAAAACAAACATTCCAGGTGATAAATCTAGGCAGGGCCAAGACTCCAACATGGTAACAAAGCTTCCAAGTAATTTTGCCATGTTTACTGATATTTGCTGATTTATACCAAGTCTATCACTTTCTGCTTCTTAGATACAATTGCTGAACATTCTCCTGCATTTACATACATAGATTAAAGCTCTTTTTCTCAGGTTTACCAGGCTTTAAAGGCCAGAGGGGAGACAGGGGCCAAGCTGGGCCACCTGGAATCAAAGGTCTGAGAGGTTCTCCAGGCTCACAAGGTCCCCCAGGTCCTCCAGGCTCACGAGGGCTCCCAGGACTGCCAGGCAATAGAGGACCTGCTGGTTTCCCAGGAGAAACAGGTGTGTCCAACATCCTGCAAAGCACCTCATCTGTCACATCTCTTGTAGAGGGAGCTATTTCTGCTGCTGTTAACACTAGGGAGTACTTGGCACCCTCCTTTCTTTCCAGCTTCAAGAATAAGACCCTGCAGCAGGGTCTTATGATAAAATCAAAGGGATGGAAGTAGTTCAGTGCATCTTGGTGCATCCTGGTGCTTCAGTTGTTTGACAGCACTGATCCATTTCCATCTATTATTTCCTACTGTAATGGCTTGTAATATGCTTTAATAAGAGCAATATGTTTAGATGTTGGCCCGTTTAGGAGGCTGGTTAGCAGTGCCTTGGGAGGCAATCCTGAAGGGCAGGGAGGTCCAGAAAGGCTGAATATTCTTCAAGAAGGAAATCTGAAAGACACAGGAACATGTGCTGAAAGACAAGCCACAGGAAAGACGACCAGCACAGCTGAGCAGGGAGCTTTGGCTGGAACTCGGGAAGAAAGGGAGAGTTTATGAAGTTTGGAAGAAGGGACAGGCAACTCAGGAGGACAAGGGTGTCATGAGGTTATGCAGGGAGAAAAGCAGAAGGGCCAAAGCCCAATTATAAGACCTCGAGCTTGCTGCTGCTGTTTGAAATGAGAACGTTTCCATAAATACATTGGCAACAAAAGGAGGGTTAAGGAGAATCTCCATCTTTTATTAAATGAGAGGAGGGAAACACAGTGACAAAGGATGAGGAAAAGACTGAGGTACTTAATGCCTTTTGTAAAACAAAGCATTTCGTGTTACCAGGAAGCAAAGGGATTCAGGGACCCCAAGGATTCCCAGGACTCCCAGGAATACAAGGCACAGAGGGAATCTCCGGTGCAAAAGGCGAAGAAGGAAAAATGGGTCCACCTGGGCCTGGTGGAGAATGTGGGGATGCAGGAACAAAAGGTTTGTGAAATTTGACTTCACTCTGTAGTTATGTTGGTGCTGTGTTAGGAATATATTTACTTTTTATAGGAAAGAGAATAACCATCTGCAAGGTGCAATCACAGGCAGTGCACAATTGCCATCTTTTGTAATCTTTCATAATTCTCCTGATTTAACATCACTTGGGTTACTACTGAATTGACTAAAAAGCAAGAGAAGTGGGATAAATTTTGTTAGCAGTGAGCCTGGTGAAACAACTGAGGACCACATTAGTGTTTGAAGGCTCTCTCTATTAGGAAAGTCACTACTAAAATTAATTTTCAGGACATTTCATTCATGAGATATACTTACATTTCTTATCTTTGGCTCAAAGGTGAAAGGGGGCCTCCAGGAGACAGCGGCTTCATTAACATCCGTTTAGAGAAAGGGCAAATGGGAGACCCAGGGTTTCCTGGTGAGAGTGGATTCAGAGGTGAAAGAGGTAAGGCCATAAAATGAAGCCATGCAGGGACACTTATTCATCTGCTCTAAATCACTGGTTTTCACTGGTAGGGACTGGAGGCTGCAGAAGCAACCAACAACCTTATCATGTTTACAAATTCTTAAAGCAGCAGGATAGTTTCTTTGGACAATTACCCAATACACAGAGTGTGGCCACACACAAAGTGTGAAAGCGTTGCCACGCTCAAAATAAGTGTCAAATAATGGCTTGACTTTATTGGTCATTATCTTGATCTGCAATTATCTTAGGTGAAAAAGGCAATACTGGTTACAGAGGCACCCGAGGATTGCCAGGGAAGAACGGTGTTCCAGGACTGCCAGGTGACCAAGGTGACACCGGAGTGATGGGCTTTCCAGGACCTCTGGGTTTCCCAGGACCAAAAGGCTTTACAGGAATTACAGGTTTTCAAGGAGAACCAGGTGACCAGGTAAACAGAGGGGTAGTGAAATGGCCTAGACTTTGCAGTTATCTCCTATCAAATAGGAGGAAGGGTCCATGAATTGTACTCACCATTAGATCTTCCCTCTCAGAAGAGACTGTCAATATAGCAGGAAATGTAAATTGCCTAATACCTAAATTTTTTGATTACATTTCAGCAGGGACTGTAGTTGGAGTCAGCGCAGGGCCTCTCCCAGCTGCATGTCCTGATTTTGTTCACTTCCTCTTGGTGGAAGTCCAGGCTACATCACACTAAATAGGAGGGAAATGCACCATCAAGTTTTTATCATTATTCCTAAGAACAGCTTGACAGATCATTTACCACAGAGATCATAACGCAGCAGCAGCACAATTAGGAGATTAATATGTAGGTGCTCCTTCATATCCTTCTGTGTGGAGTGGACAAGCCAAGAGACACAGCAAACCAAGTCACCTCTGCCTGTGGGGCCAGTTTGCTCCAGGCAGAACCCAGGCAATTATCAAATTTCTTTGAAGAGGTAATGTGTGGTTTGCTGATTACAGGTCATTATTCAAAAGGGAAAAATAGGGAAATCTTTGCATTTTTATTGTTACATCACAACATATTGCTGATTAATGTTTGTAGTAAATTTTGGGTAACATACAACAATATTTGGTATATTTTTATGGTACCTTTTAAATCAAATTACTCAGGCCATCTGTGGGGATTTAAGCTGTTTGAGCCAAGAATTAGAATGAAGTATAAAAGCACAAATTCAAAATTATTAGCAAGTCTAATCTACAGTTTCTTGGAAGTGTTAGTGGTCAGTGTTAGACGTGTAACAAAGACAACATGCTTTTCTGCTGAGCTTAAGATACAGTTTTGCTAAGAGCACCAAATGCTCTTATAGATTATTCCTGCTACACACAACATATGTCAAACATTTTTTTTTATTTTTTTTTTTTTAAATCAGGGTGAGGTTGGCTTACCAGGAATCCCAGGAAATCCAGGACTGCCTGGGCCCAAAGGATGCAAAGGTAATGAGTTTATACACACAGGCTTTGAAAAGAGCAATATTGTGAGGATGTGTGTGCAATAGATCACAAGGACTCACTAGAAAATTCATTTTCACTTCTGTCCTGTTTTCCTTTAAAACATGAATGTAATTAGAAACAAGTCTGACTTACCTGAAGGCAGAAATTGCATTTCGGTATATCCTGTAACAGTTTGTTCCTTTAAAAGATGATCTTATTAATTTAGAAGATAAATTTGTGTCAAATTTCACTGAGTTTAAAAATTCCATGACAATCAAGTACAAATCCATTCTTATGGATATGAAAAATTTGTCAATATCTATAAGAGAAAAGGCAATCAGGTGAACCGTCATAATTTGCAATTTTCATCCTGTGTTCTCACAGTTCCTTTTCTAGCTGGTAATATCTCTCAGTAAATTTTCTGATCTTACAAACCTGTCCAGCTTTGCTTTTGTGGATGAAAAAGATCCTTGTCTGAAATGGAAGTCCTTGTACCTCCACAGGTGAGAGAGGGGACCCAACTCCTCTGCTTGGTGCCCGTGGTCGGAAAGGGCCACCCGGAGATCCAGGATCAGCAGGTACCTCCGTCTGCTGAAGAAACAATTGCATTTAAGAGCTTGTTTTCTCTAAGTTTTGTTAGCAGAGAGGGAGCTCTGAAGGATTTGAATAAGATTCTCTTTCTTGTCAAGAAACCCTTTGCTGAATTTTATACTTTTTTTAACTTATCGTGAAATGAAGAATGGGAAACTTTTAACAAAGAAATGCTAGATTACTCCCTTTTTTTTTTTCCTTTAAGGGCCCTGTGGATTCCCAGGGGAGAAGGGTTCACCAGGAATCCAAGGACAACCTGGAGGGCCAGGATCCAAGGGTGACCCTGGATATCCAGGAATACCAGGATTACCAGGTAATACCAAAGTTTTAAAAAACAGTGTAATAGCACTGTTGAGGAGGCCCCTCTGTGTAGGAGGCTGGAGAAATCAGAGGTCATGTGAAGGGGTGTATTGAAAGCTAAATCAACAATTTAAAAGATTTGCATATTCACAGATTATTGTTTTTTCCACTCTCAGGGGCTACAGGTCCTCAGGGATTACCAGGAGAACCTGGGGAAAGAGGGAAACGTGGAATTTTGGGACCTCCAGGATTGCAAGGATTACCTGGATTCCAAGGCAGAAAAGGTAAACAGTATCCAGTGGCATTCTAGTGGTGATGTAACAGCACCAAACACAAATACCCTTTTAGGAGGGAAAATGGAAAAGGCCTAACTATGACCATGATTTGAATTCTGTGGTCGTTTAAACTATCAGAAGAATTAAGCCAGTTCCCATCACCTTTGAAAAGTAACATAAATGCTACCTCAGAAAACTGGGATACAATTTAGAAGGGGAAAGGTAGAAACAGTGTCTGGCTCGGCTGGTATCGCAGAACTTAAGAAAAAGAAGTTTGCAGTTAATTCAGTTTTTCACTTTTACTGAAGTTATGCTGTGTTCCACATTTTCACCATGGAGTGCCACTGTTACTCTACAGACCCAGCAGACTGCTGTGGACAGATTTGTCTTATAAACTTGTTTTAACAAATTACGATAAGTTGGTTTTTTCTGTTCATTTTGTTGTGGTGTTGTTTTCTCCCAAAACTGAATTTTGAGGGGTTTAATGTAGAAGTGTTTCCTCCACATCCTAATTTACACTTTTCACAATGATTGAGTTCAGATTGAACAGTAATTCATCCATATGGTTGTTTTTGTTGGAGAACATATTAACTTTTTCTATGATCAGAACTAAAATTTTAAGTCACAGTAATAGTTCATGAAGAAAGTTATCAACTCTGCATCTTCTCTCTGTTATATTGTGCTTCATAACCAGTTCCTGAACAGGAATATTAGTGACCCATATACAGAAATCACAGTAAAGTAACACTTGGACTGTGATAAATGCTTAGAGAGAACAACAGATCCACTTTTTCAAATTCAACCTAAGGAAAAATCAAGAAGGTTTCTTATAAACTACTGAAAGTGGAAATGAAAAATGGAAACCATTTATGATGGCTTGCAGTAAATAAGTGGTGCTGATTTAAAGTGTCGTGACAGATTCCCTGCTGATGCATAATGTGCAAGAGAACATTTCAGTGTTGCAAACAATATTGGCTGTAACAAAGGCAGAGATCTGCAGTGGCAGGGATGTCTGAACTGAGAAGGGTCAAAAAAAACCCCACAAGTGGCTGCTCAAAGGTAACCACACAGACTTACTTACCCATCCCACTGGCTCTCATTTACATGGAAGGCCTTGTGCCTACACAACTTGAGGATTTTTCAAAAATTAGTTAAACGGCATCTACCAAAGCATAATCCCATTTTCTTTATTACAGTAGTTTCACTGGTTAAGGGCTTAGTCTGGCAAGCCTTACTTGTGTGAGTAATCCTTGATGAAGAAAGCAATATTAAGAACATCAGCGGAATTACTTGCAGAAGTAGAAGCTGAGTTGGGCTGTCCAATACCAGAAACAGTAGTTCATGCCTAGGTCAGCCAATTCAGCTGTACCTAGAAATATGGGACTGCAGCAATCCAAAAATCTAGAATTACAAGTGCTGATATTATAATGGATTGTTGGCAAACGTGTCAGAAATTCCCTGGAAAGCGAGTGAACCAAGCCATCAATCTTGCCTGAATGAGCCAAAGATCAAAAAACGTTTGCAGTGGTGACCTGGGGGCCAAAATTAGTTAGGAGTTGGTAATAATTTTAAAATACCACTGTTAAATTCCCCAAATGCGACTCTTACATAAATCTGAAAATGGGAACCTGTTCAAAGCACAAGGAGGCCACAGAAAGCAGGACTTAAACTTAGAATGTCATGAAAAGTTAAAGAACAGTTAATTAAGGGCAAGAAGATATCACAGGTTGGATTACTAGCACCTCACATTACAAAGTGGATTACACAGAGAGTACATTATCAATGTCTTTCAGGTTTTCAAACAATCTTCTGGATTTAAATTTTTCCAGTCTGGTGTTTGCTGCAGGCTGGAATTTTTTCACCTTTCAATCCATCCATTGTTAAATTTTAACTAAAATAATTCAACAGTTCCTCAGGGCAGAGCTATATGATTATAATTTTTGGTGTGCCTGTCAGGAAAAATGAAAAGGCACTTGAGTTCTCTTTCTCAGATGACCCATCTGTGAACTAGGGACCTTTAAATCTGGCAGATGAAGCAGCTGATGAAGGGCATTTGTGTTGCTGTTCCTACAGCAATTTGTCTCTGCCAGATTTGACTAGTTTATGAACTTTTTTAAAAAAATATGTCCATTCACATGTGCTTGAGTAGAGCAATAAACTCTCCCAAGGTTCACTCCCTGGATATACAGCGGATTGTTGTGCTACAGGACATCCTGGGACCGAGCATGGGCACCAGAACACAGAACTGACATATCTTCCATGCCAGGAAGGAGCCAGAGGGGGAAAAGGAGACAAAGATAATTCAGATTTGGGGAAAAAAAACCCCACTGCAACTGGACTGGGAATCCTGCATGACAGGGAGGAGAACAGAGGTGGAACAGGGACAGGAACGGGCACTGACAGTGTTGCTCAACTCATTGACCATCAGTGTCCACTCCAATCTGTCCCTCTCCAGAGCAAGAGGAATCCCCAGTCTGTTCCTCTGCCTGAAACCTCTTTGAAACCCGTGACCAAATGACCCCTCAGTTTTGCCAGATACATTCCTATCACCAGCAGACTGTACATTTCCATATTTAATAATTCATATCTAAAGCTTAAAAACCTATCAAGTGCTGAAGACATGGAGACATTTTTACCCTCCACTGCAAACAGTGAATATAAACTCAGAGTAGTTCAATTTTTTAAAAAAATGGATGAAAAAGTGCCATCTATGTTTTTACTTACTGTTTTAGCAATTTTCAAAAAAGCACAGATTATAAAGCAATAGCTGTACCTGACTAGATTTAAGTCACTGTCATCCAGCGAACCTCACTAGTGACAAAGCTGTTCTGTACACTATCACGTGCCATCATATTGTCTCAATTACAGATTTGTTGTCCTCAAAGACTTTGTGCTGCTCAGTTCAGAAAAATTTCGTACCAGTGTGGTGCAAAAAAATCAGGGTTTTCTGTGTGAAATCTGCAGCACCAGAGAAAAGAAGCCAAGTGAAAATTTCACCTCTTTTTAGTGCAGCTAAATTAAACTGCACTTACATTTTGAACAGAAGCTGTAAAGAAGTTCCAGCTTTACAGGTCCTTTAGATGGTGTCTGCAACCCCATCTCGAGGTCACGAAGGGATAACACAACTAACTTTGGATGAGTTAACCACATGTAACAGTAGCAGCCTAGACACAGACACAACTTAATAAATTAGCCCATATCAAGCTTCCTACTGCTGACTGCAGCATGGAAATACCTGTAGGATTGAAAGGTATGTTTTCTGCTTCGATGTGAATGATTTCATTCTCATTGCTGTTTTCAATTTGTTCCCATTTTCCTTTCCAAAAAGGCTGCACTCAGGTGCAGTGTGATCTCATCTGCAGTTGCCAATAAGAATCAAATTCAGCAAAAACCCCATCTTGATCCAGAATGTGTTGTCAGATAAACAAACAAACAAACAAAAAGGTATAGCTTCTAATTGTGACTTGAAAGGATTATTATTGTGGCATCCAGTCCTGCCTATAATCTACAATACCTTTCAGGTCTTCCTGGACTTCCTGGACTGGATGGCTTAGATGGACTAAAAGGTCAAAAAGGTTCTGCAGGAGCTCCAGGTAAAGAAAGAAAAGAGGAATGTGGAACAGGAAATCTACTCTTAAATGACTGAAGGTGGAAGGAGTGGAGAATGTGATTTTGATGTTTTCCTTGCCCAGAAGATATCATCCAAGCTCAGACCAAACTTCCCAACAGAATCTAATGACACACCTGCAGTCATTTGTGGGGAAAGCTTTCAAACTTCCATTCCTCACACAGTTTTGTTGGAATGGTTCAAGGCTGTTTATAAAATTAAAATGTTCACTGCAGATGATTCAAAGGAGAGCCAAGTCTCCTTTCTTTTTTTTTTTTTTAACATGTAAAAGATGAAGCTAACAAATTAAAAGGAGACTTGTGAAATCCCAGCCCCATTCTTTAATGGGAGTTGTGCCACAAACTTAAGAGGAACCTGGATTTCACTCACACTGATGTATTTGCAGCTTTCAAAATATGCTTTTGAAACATCATTAAAAAAAAACAAACAAAAACACAATGCTTACCATCTATCTACAGTTTAAAAATATATGCTGATAGGTAATTAAATTTAGAACCACGTAAGTAGTTTACATTTCAAGTTACAGACAACAGTGACACAACATAAAATAACCCCTGAAGAAGAGCCTTAAAGCAAAGAGATTGCTTTCTTTGAAAGAGATGAATTAGGGCCAGATTCAACAAAACTCCATCCAGCTTCCAAGAGAGAACCAGAAAAACAGCACTAGGCAACCCTTGCGAGGAGGAACATCTGCAGCTGGTATTGCTATTCTGCACATCTGTATTTGTACTCACTGTAAGCTTCATGTACAAAACTGTTTTCTTATAAAGGTCAAAGTGAAACAGGGCCCCCAGGGTACCCAGGAGAAACTGGACCAAAAGGAGACAGAGGTGAACCTGGATGGCCTGGTGTTTCTATTCCAGGCCCCCCTGGAGAAAGGGGATTCCCAGGATTCCCAGGTAAGAAAAGGTTTTTTCCATAGTGCTGCTTTGCAAAATTGAAATTAAGCTCATACAGGCTCTTACCCTGCTTAAGATGAACATTGTACATACCCTGAAGATTCCCTCCCTAAAAACATTGCTGTTGTAATAATGTGCTGATGATTCCTGAGTAGAGATCCAGAGACCCTGGAATTTCTTGTTTACGATGTTACAGGAGGGAAAAGAATGAAAATAGGAAGTGATGGACTTGGACAGACTCAGGGAACTGCTAGGTAGGGTTGCCTGTTGGAAAGAAATTCCTGAAGGAAAAGAGTGCAGAAGATCTGGTGGTCACAGAACCACAGTAAATCCATCAACTATTGTGATGTAAATGCAAGGTGGAACTGCATCACAGGATTGACACGATTATTTGAGAGCTTTGTGATATGAGAGTTACACAGAAATAGGAAAAAGCAGGCGTTTGAGGAAGGGTCACTGAGAAAGTTCAGAGATTTGAGCATCTGTCCTCTGAGGACACGAAAACGAGGGAGGGTGCATTCTTTAGGTTACTTGGATTTTTATGGGAAGAATTAAGAATTTAAAAAGGTAAATATTTTCACTTTGGCAAGATGGCTTCATTAGCCTGATCACTGGTATGTTTGATATCAAAGTTACCTCCCTGACTTCTCATGTCGGCAGTCTTTGACTTAGCAACTTCTGTCTGTAATCTAAAAAAAAAAATTCAAATAATTCTTTTCTTTTCAAAAAACCCCCATGGTCCTTTAGGTAGAAGAGGACCTGTTGGACCCACTGGACCTATGGGAAGATCTCCTGATAGTGCTTCTCCTGGTCCTCCAGGTGATCAAGGACCACCTGGCTTAGATGGCATCAGAGGTATTAAAATTAAAAATACCAATTTTTATCATGTTAAAAAAAAAAAAAAAAACCCTGAGGCTGCTTGGAATCACAGGGTTACTGTCTGTGGAACGATGTATACAAGTGCACAGGGAATAAAGAAACCCATCAATACCTCAGTGGATACACAGAGGGGAGAACACTGGATGGATCACCAGAGCAAGGACAAAAATACAGATCTCCAGATTAGGCAACGTGGTAATAAAACTATAATATAAAATATAAATATCAAGAAACAGCGTTGCAATGCATGTACCATTAACTTGCTGCCTTTTGCTTCCACAGAACTCAAACAGCTTTGGGAAATAATATTCCTATTATTTTCTTCCTTGGAAAGGCTAATGTTAGTGTTTCCAAAAACATGCAAGGGCTGTCCTACATCCTAGGGGGAAAATACCAAAACAAAAATCAGTGGAACAAGGCTATTTTTAGATGTTTGTCTTTGTACATACATTAAGAATAAAGTTCTATTACCACAGGTCATCCTGGGAATCCTGGGCCTCCTGGAGAGACCATCTTGGTGCGAGGAGATTCAGGTGACGTCGGCGCTCGAGGGGCACCAGGGAATCCTGGCCAGAGAGGACAACAAGGAGCCAGAGGTCCTCCAGGGAACCAAGGAAGAGAAGGCCCAAAGGGTATTATGAGCTCTGCAAAGAGAAAAGTCACGAATTTTAGTTCAGCTCAAGAGCAGGGAGAGGAGAAGAAGAAGTGGGCATTTCTTTCTGGGACGCTCCAGAGTGGAAGTGTCCCAAGCAGCCAGGCTTCATTTTATTTATGTTGGGGTTTATTTCCAGGTCCTATGGGGGTCCATGGCCCACAGGGTCCACCTGGTGCTACAGGACAACCAGGAGACCAAGGTTTTCCAGGAAGACCCGGTCCCAGAGGTCCCACAGGTACTTAAGAACCCACTGCTGCTCATCAGTCAAGTGTAACTGTGACCCTTCTATTCATATATAATCATACTAACATTTACCTGCATACAGACACTTTAAACAAGCTCAGAAAAAAAGCTCACAATTGCCAACTTAATTGATTTCTCATTTGAGTAGTGTAAAAATTTCTGAACTAAGTATTTATTTCTAATGTCACCTCATGCAAGTGATTTCGCTTCTCATTCCATTCTTTACTCTAATTTACATGCCTGCAACTTGTTCCCACCTGCACCACAATGGCCACAATCTGCTTTCCATTTTTCAAACCCTTCAGGTTTCATAGGTAAGTTCATAACTATTGATTATTGTTCTTTTTGTGGGACCTCCCCTCATGTGTAGATAACTCAACTCTTATTAGAAGGTATTTTTGGAGTGGCTGCCAGGAATAGTAGATAATGCTATAATGTCAATGAGAATTATGAAATATCTTGTTTCTAGTTAGAATTGGTGTGGTTTTTTTTGGTTTTCACACAAGATGCTTTTCTAACCAAAGGTTTAGCAAAATCCCAACCCTGGATTACAACAGACACTGAACTCTTCATCTGACTAAACTATGTTCCAAAATGCAAATAGGCAAAAGCTCCCAGTAACTTTCACCAATATAAAATGGGGCTATCCTTATTTTTTTTATATATTATAATTATTTCAAATGGCTATTATGGGCTAGCTTTTTATGGCCTGCTTATTGCAACCAAATAGGCAAAATACTGTCAAATTTTACATGTGCTGAGGTGCTTGCGCTAAAGTTGGGTCAAATTTAGGCTTTAACTCAAATCAGTTGGGGGCATATTAAGAGTAGAACTGTACACCCAATATTTCAAACATGGAATTGTTTAGCTTGGAAAAGATGATCAAATGGAACCATTAAGCCAGCATTGCCAAGTCCACCACTAAACAATGTCCCTAAAGTATCACATCTAAATGTTTTTAAACACCTCCAGGGATGCCCACTTCCCTGGGCAGCCTATTCCAGGGCTTGACAACCCATGAAGAAATATTTCCTAATATCCAATATAAGTCTCCCCTGGTGAAACTCGAGGTGATTTCCTCCTGCCACTGGCCTTGCCCACCTGGGCAAAGCTCACATCAGCTGGCTTATGCTGGCTAATGCTTGCCATGCCTTAAACGCTGCGCTAAAAGACTAAAATTACAAGCAGCGAGACTTAATAATTCCAGATTTTAAGATACCCAAAGTATTATCTTGAGCACCAAGGTCAGCTCACGTTTATGTTGATTTTTCACACGGGAGCCATTCACCACTCCTCCAATTCACCCTCCTGTTACGCATTCCAGGTGACCCTGGGGAGCCAGGAATAGTTGATGATTCGTGCCCTAAAATCCCAGGCCCCCCTGGGGAAGCAGGGCAGAGAGGAGAGGACGGCTCTGCAGGATTACCAGGGCCAATAGGCCACCCTGGACCCCACGGTAAGCTCATGTTTTCCATCTTCCCTTCTCCTGGGCCAGGGAGGGCAAAAGCACCAGGCACTGTTGGGAAAAGACTTCCTCAAATGGTATTTTCCCCTTTTCCCAGCAAACGATAAAGCAATGCCTCCAACCACTCCTATGGTTTAGACATATTTGAAGGATGTATATAAAAATGTAAAAATTTAGCAGTAATGAATCCCAAAGCTCTGATAACCAAAAGTCCTAAAAAGACACTGAAGCCAGAGAGGCAGCTGCAACAGTGCTCTTTATCTGTCAGAAGGTGAAAGCTGCCACAAAAGAAAACTGACCAAGGAGATCTTAAAAAGAAGTGATGGAAAACTGAAACGTTCTTCTGACAGATAAAAAGAAAACAAGGGTGATGCTGGTACTGATGATTCCAACAGAGAGAGCATCTTCATGGAAATAAAGCACAGCCTGTCTGCAGAGTGTCTTGAGTTTAGGTAGTGGGATCCCTCATGTGGGTTTAGGTATTTCCTGCTTGAGAAACTGAAGTTTGTTGTAGTGGCTGCTCTGGACATCCAGTATCTCCAGAGGGAAAATCCATTCTGTTCTCCCAGGAGATTGCTTGCAAGAGTTTCTGTGAAACTGGGGGATACAGTGATACATACCTGCACTGGTTTCATGAAAGAAATAAAGAAATACTTAGTAATGTTCCTCCTTTCATTAAGATAGGAGAAGTCCAATGTTCTTCTGGCTTGGAAGGCAAACTGGAAGTTTCACTGGCAAAAGCAATGTGCTTTACTAAAGCTTCAGTGTGCTTAAGCTTTGGCAGAATAACTGTGCAATAAACATAGAAAAGCTGTTAATTGTTTTGACTGGTTTAGGTTTTCTTAATGAATCCAGTAAAAAATAACTTTGCGAAATTCTGAATGCTGTGAGACAGCCCTGAATGACTCAGTGTGCAGGTTAAACAGCAAAATCTGCAAGGAATGAAACACACCATCACTGAGAAACAACTGCACTGGGTGCCAGAGAAACAGCCTCATCTGAAAACTGGTTTTTATCAAAAGAGGGAAACCACTGCTAAGTACAATAATAGCTGACAATATGCCACAATTGGCTTCCCTGATAATGTTTGTTAGTGAGGGCTTTAATTTCAACTGTAAATCACAAAACTTCCAGGGAGAGGATGTAAAACCTCATCAGGAGCTGCTGTAATGAAGCCATGCCTCTGAGCTACTGCTGTGGTCACAGAGTGGCTAAGATGGGAAGAGAATTCCCAGCAGAAAGGGGGGTCTGCACCTCCCTGTCCCGGTGTCTGACTGGCCCTTTGTGTTTGGTCGATGCAAAACCTTAAATGCAGCCACAGGAAGCAAAAGCACATCCTTTGTATTTATCCAGGAAGAAAAGGTGAAGAAGGGGCATGTGGCCTGCCAGGTCAAGATGGCTCACCAGGGGCACCTGGGCCACCAGGTGACCAAGGGAGCAGAGGAGAGCAAGGATATGCTGGGCCACAAGGTAAGAATGGGACACGACCCTGGGGGAGAGATGAGTGGGAGATGATGGACAGACCAAGTTTCATCTCTACCCCCCCAGTTCACACAGGGATACATCCACCTCTAGCCTGAGATTCTATGATGCTTCTTTCCCCCTCTCAGTTCAAGCACTGATATAGAGACATTTGTGAATGATTCTGTAACCAGACCTGTTGAAAGGAAATTTATCTCAGCATCCATTATTAACCAGCAAGGCAATTAACCCCAGAGGCTCAGACAGCACATATCAATAGGCATGCATCTCTGAGTCAAGGCTAATGGGACAACTGTCTGGGAGTAATTAAAATTGTATTTTAACTGTGACTGCTCTTGAATAAATGAAGGGTTTCATACACATGTGAGGAAGGGGCATCGACTGTTACTGCAAAGATTCGAATGCAGTCCAGAAAAGTCATCCTACTGGTGAGTCTGGGAAATCCTTGCCCACCTCCATTCATTTCTTAATCCCTACAGCACAAGACAGGTACAACAGAAAGGCCAAGTGCCAAGCACTCAGGGGCAATGCAGTTCAGTTCTCTGCCATAAGAAGGATAACATAAGTCCACTGGTGTCTTTATTGTCCATGACAGCCCGTGGAGTTGTGTTATATTGAGTCAGGAACTCCTTACTGAACACTCAACACATAGCTAGTGTGAAGATTTGCTGTATTTTATGAAATTTATGGAATTTCCTTTACCTTTCTCCTGTGAATAAGGTCCACCTGGCCAGACTGGTATCCCAGGACCACCAGGCCCCCACACGAGATCTGCAAGTGGATTCTTGCTCGTCCTTCACAGCCAGTCAGACAGAGAACCGCTCTGCCCACAGGGGATGCCAAAATTGTGGACTGGCTACAGTTTGCTGTACCTGGAAGGACAGGAAAAGGCCCATAATCAAGATCTTGGTATGTATTGTAGTGATAATTGAATGAATCTGCTGCAGTGCAATTGAATGAAAAAACTATTTCCATCTCTAAGTAATTTTGACTAGAATTTGGAGGGATGAGTGGTTTATTTCACTTATCCCAGGGAGTAATTTTGGGCTCTCTTTGAAGTGTCTGGAGAGATTTTCCTAGGTCAGAAATCTCATTTGGTCACACTCAAAGAGCTTCCCGGAGGATCTGCTCCTTTTTGACTGTAGAGACAGCTTGGGCAAAAGAGCTGGTTAAGTTGGGTGGTTCCAGTTTGACCCTGTAACTAAGTTTTACAAGTAGATTATGTGTCATGTGTAGAGCAGAACTCTCTGCTTTTAAGAGTCAGAAGCTAATGGTTTTGGAAAATGCCAAAGCAAAGCTTCTCCCAGAGGCAGCTTCTTTTGGTGTCCTGGGTCATTTCTTCTACTTCCTCTACAGTTCTGACTGAAATCAGCTGTTTAAATAAGCTGCCTGATTTGCAGTCTGATTGGTGGCAAATTTGCACAGAAAATGTTTCTTACATTCTCGCTGAGTTGTTATACAAGAGTCAGAGAAGTCTCTGAGGAGGAAAGATCAGGGACCTAAATAAGCTGAACAAAACAGAAGTGTTTAGAAGAGCAATAAAAGGAGATCTTTATAATAGCAGTGATGTTTTTTAAAATGTTTTCACTGTTGTGTGATGGCATTCCCCAGGAGAGCCAGTTGCTAACAGAATGTCTCCTAACAGCAATGAAAATAAAATTCAAAGAAAGCAGAGCCCCCATCTCCCAATTTTGCAGGAATTTTCCCTATTCAGGCTACTCTAGATCCTTTATTAGTACTGGAATGGGAAATTATCAGTGATAAATAAAACTGGCTGCTGTACAGAAATGTCATATGTCTTTAATGAAGGTGTTGGAGCTCGGGGGCATTGCAGAAATAACACTTCACACAAAATTCAAGGCAGAACTTTGGGCAGTGATTACTGGTAACTAAATAGGTCATCCTGAAACTGTTCTAAAGTCAGTTCTGGAAGAACTTCACCTCTGAAATATGCTGCAGTATGCACTGGTCACTTCTCAGTTCCCACTGATGTCTGCCTGATGAGAATTTTGCAGGATTGGCTCTGCAAAATCCCTCAATCCTTTTATTTCACTCCAAGATTCTGTGAAACCTTTCTGGAAGAGCTGCTGAGATTTCAGCTTAATGCACTGGCAGCAATGGCTTGTCATACTTTACAAAAACTTGCTATTTATCAGCATTGGCATTTGGTTTCTCACTGCTCCTAATGAGTTTGTAAACAGCTGATCTCCTTTTAAACCAGCCACCACCTCTTTCCTTAATTTATTTTTCAGCGTCGGCACAGCTAAGAAATTTGTTATCATAACTGTTTCCCAGGGTGACAGAGTACATCCTGTTTAAATATTGGATTGTGACACAAATATTAATGGTCAAGGAAGATACTTATTGGTAAAAAAAGTCTCCATTTTCCATATAAGTCAGTCTCCACTTTCCATATAAGTCAGTCTCCATTTTCCATATAAGTCAGTCTCCACTTTCCATATAAGTCAGTCTCCACTTTCCATATAAGTCAGTCTCCACTTTCCATATAAGTCAGTCTCCACTTTCCATATAAGCAGCCACTTTGGTAAAGGTCTGGGAGGTGTAAGGTCTGTGAATCACCCAACCACTGTTAGGATATCCTGTTTTCCAGCAACACCGGCCAGGATACTATTTCCAACTTACCAAGAAGGAGTAACTGGCATCATTTGTTCTCGTTTTCAGGTCTGGCAGGCTCTTGTCTCCCCGTGTTTAGCACCATGCCCTTTGCCTACTGCAACATCAACCAGGTGTGTTACTACGCCAGCCGGAACGACAAGTCCTACTGGTTGTCCAGCGCCGCCCCCCTGCCCACGGAGCCGCTCTCCGAGCAGGAAATCCAGCCCTACATCAGCAGGTGTGCTGTGTGCGAGGCCCCAGCCCAGGCAGTGGCAGTTCACAGTCAAGATGAGTCCATCCCTCCCTGCCCAGCGAACTGGAGGAGCCTTTGGATCGGGTATTCCTTTCTGATGGTGAGAGTCGGGGGCGCGCCATCGTATCGGAAATTCTCCTCCGCCCAGCTTTTTGGGTGCTGGAGGTTCAAAGATTTTTTTTTTTTGGGGTCTGAAAAGTAAATTATCCAGTTCCTACTTTGAACATTGAAAAGGAATACTCACAACAAGGGTTAGAGTTCCAAACTGCAGAACCCAGCTGCAGCTGCATGACTGCACTCGCAGCCTTCAGACACACGTTTTCTTAAAGTTACAAAGATTTTGCTTGTGGGATTTTCAGGTACAGAGACACAATTTTCAGAATTAGAGCTCCAGGTTTTTTTAATGCCATCCTCAAGAGACATTTGCAGCAGTTTGGAGAACAGCATTGTTCAGAATCATCCCAGACTACCTCTTCCTTCAGTTTGATAAATACCTGAAAAATAAGTGAGCTGGCTCTCAACTTTTGAGATTAACTCATTGCAGAGCAAACTAAAATTTTCTCCAGCAAAAAAAATAAAAGCTTACTCTAATTTACAATTACCACACCAGCACAATTAAAAGCAAATGAAGAAAGAAAAAAAAAAAAGACAGAGTAACATAACTTACCTCTTTTTCACGCACATTTGTCAAGTTCTCTCATTGTTCTTTCCAGCACACTGGCTCTGGTGATCAGGGTGGTGGACAGTCCCTTATGTCACCTGGAAGCTGCCTGGAGGACTTCAGATCAGCACCATTCATCGAGTGCCAGGGCCAGCGGGGGACGTGTCAGTTCTTTGCCAATGAATACAGCTTCTGGCTGACAACTGTGATGCCTGAACTGCAGTTTGCATCAGCCCCCCTGTCAGGAACTCTGAAAGAAGGACAAGAGCAGAGGAGGAGAATCAGCAGGTGCCAGGTGTGCCTGAAGCACGGCTAACACAGGATGGACAGCCAGACTTGCACGAGGATGAGCAACATGTAAAGGTTTAAACAGCATTTCGTGTTTGAAGGTGTTTGAAAGTGGGCAGAGCTGTTCTCTTTGTTGGAATGGATATGTAAGACTGAAAGATGAAGGACCTGCTGAGCCTCATCCACCCATCTACACACGTCTCCAGGTAGTAAAATCTAGTATAAATTAATTAATTAATTTTAAGAAAGTCCACTGCCACAAGGTGCAGGGAACAGGATGAGCTTGGAGGGTTGAGTCAAGTTGGGAATACCAAGGACACCCCACCTGTCGTGCAGGACAATGGATTTCCTGTTAGAAATGGCATTTACAGCAGGAAGAGTATGTGCATTTATATTTATCCACATCTATAGAAATGTGCAAATATACAAATATCAAAGCCCTGTAGCTGAATTTCCCAAGCTAAAGAAACTCTGCACATGCTGTTTCTGAGGGAAGGGGGAAATGTCATTGTTAAAAAAAAAAAAAATAATCTCATAATAAAAACAATGAAGATGAAAGTCTTTTACCATTGCAGTACTGACCAAACTGTGAAAGAACTGTTAATTGGGCTTTCATAAGCAACAAAAACAAAAACAAAAACAAAACAAAAAAAAAATTGCAAATCCATTTAATAGCAGATTATATAAGAAAATAAAATTAGTTGAGATAACAAATCCGTAAAAAGCTATATCTGTATTTACAATTCATTTCTGAGAGCAGTTACATTAAATGATTAAGCTCCAATCCAAGTTGCTGAAGAAACAAAGCAGTTTCCAGTATTAACTCAAAAGAACCAGTGGGATGATGATAAAATGGATGAACTTATATGAGTGATGAGTGTTAGGACAATAAATGTTGTTCATTTTTTTTGCTTGTTTGTAAATACACCACCAAAACAAGAACCATCACCTCTGAGATCCTTATGGAATGACAGCTCTAGAGATGCTGTTTATTTCTCAAAGCACTGGTTGTTAAAATGTTCATAAGCCAAAGCACAAATCACCTTTTGAAAGAGTTGAAACACATTTATACCTCCCTCATTCAGGTATAAACCCAGAACTATTCACAATGCAAATCTGAATCACGGGAAACATCTGAAATCACAGACTGCCAACGGAGAATCCATCATGTGCAGAGGGACCACAAATGCTCCTTTTACCACTTAAATAAGCTTACATTTTAGTAGAATGGAATCAAACGCTTTTTCCAGCACTTTTCATTTCAATTTGTGTTCACTGAGGTGCCCCCAGCAAAAGGATTTTCAAGGAAACCTCAATCCTGGTCCAAGAGTCCCAATTCAGAGCAAATCACAAGCACAACAGGCTGATCAGCCAATTTGAAAGCTGGACACACAAACTCAAAGAGCAGGAAAGACAGACATTCCAGTCTCAGCCAGAGGAAAATAAACCAGTCAGAGGGTAAGTCCATTGGGGTGTAAATACATCTGACTGTGCAGCTTCCTCCTGACAAAACCAGCCAAACCTCAACTCCTCGAGGTGCCGAGAAGCTCAGGAGCTTCCTGTGGGTGGGAAGCAGCACGTGGAGAGGAGAGTGGGCTTCAGTCACCTGCTCTTCAAGGTGTGCAAACTGTATTTGCCACATTGTGTTTTTCATGGAATCAGCCGGGTTGAAAAGACCTTCTTGCAAACTTTTTCACTGAGACAAGTTGAAGGCAACAGGGAACGATAAAATGGGATTTTGGAATCGGATCTGTGTTCACCTAACTCGAACAAATACACAGAAAAATCTTAAAAATATCTGAAAGAATCAACAAAAAGCCCGACAATAATATAACTAAGCCACTTAACAGTATTTTACCCTCTTGCTCTTTTGTTTAAAAAAAAAGAATCACACAAAAGAGTCATATTTCTATGTTATTTTGATGCAGAGTTTTTGCACCTCTGCCAGTTACATTTTACTGGGGTCTAGAAGAACACACAACCCTGAGATGAGCTCAGGTGGTCAGAGCATGGTGCTAATTCAAGAGATGTATTTATAAGCTACCACTGATGTATCAAATATTTCATAGGTGTGTAAATTCCTGCTGCGTGCTCAGCTGACTCCATAAGGCATTTGTCAGAAATATTGCACTAATTCAGAATTAAATTGCAGATAAATGGCTATTACACAGCAAGTAAGACAGACCAAGGTATAAAGCAGCAGATGCCTTAACTCTGCAATCATTTGTCCAGTGACTGCAAGCAGAAAAATAAGTGGTAAATTATTCATAGGGAACCTAATTATGAAATTAAGTGTGAAAAGGCACAGTTGAAACTGTTTATGAGAAAACCCACTAAAAACTCCGAAAAGCAATGGCCTTGTGTTAGTCCTTAAGTCCAAATTACCCTTCCTATCACATTCTAGAGCTCTGGATCTTGTGTAGGCCCAGTGAAGAAGTGAATTTTACCCTGAACAGCAGGCAGGATATTAACAGCAACACAGAAAGTTACTCTGGCTACACTTGGGGGTGGTTGGAATTAGAACCATTTGGGGTGAACTGCCCTGAAGCTCAATTTAAAACTAGCAATTTGTAATGAGAAGACTTTGCCATGGCCTTTGTGTGGCCAGGGAGCAGGGAAGGTGCCTGGCTCTGGCTTGGGGTGAATCCTCAGGGCAGGTGGCAGCTGCTTCTCCCTCCCATCAGCATTTCCAGGAGATAACTGGTGGAATTAAAGCACGGCATGGCCTGAACCCTGCTCCAGGTCCCTGCTTGTCGTGTGCTGTCACATCAGCAGCATCGAGTGCCTGGGAGTTGAATCCCATGGGGAGCTGGCCAGGGCTGGCAGCCACATCTACCCAGCTGCTTCACCCCCCCCAGGGGGAAGGACAGGAAGAAAACAGAAGGAAAAAAGGGCAAGAAAACTCACTGGTCAGAATATAGACGGGGAAATCACCAAGTACTGCTGGGGGCTAAGCACACTCAGCTCAGGGAATTTCATTTATTGCTCATTAGCATAAATTGACTGCTTCAGGTTTTGGGGGAAAGGTGGACAAACCTTAACAGACCTTTCCTCCCAATTTCCCAGGTTCAACTGCACTCCTGACCCTGCTCTGCTCCCTTGTCACCACTGTAGGTGACACTCAGTCCCTTCAGCGAGGAGCTTGTAGGAGGGGGGTGTTGATCAAGCCATAAAGCAATTTCTCTGTGCTGCCCCTTCCTTCTCTTTTGTGGGAACACCTGCTCTGGCATGAACCATTTCCCAGAATCACACTGTTACTTGCAAAAAGTTTAAGCAAAACTGGTCCAGGAGTTCTTCCAGGGTAAACCTTTAACCAAAAAAAACTCTCTCCTACTTTGTCTGGTTCATGAGCACCAGAGAAAAACAAAAGAAGTATCAATGCAGTCAAAACATGAATGCACATAATTCATATATTTTTTTTTTTGCCTGTATTTAATGCAAATAAAGCAAAGCTTTTACCCATCACCCCAAGCTGCTCACTTGTTTGAGAAAGATCCAGTGGGGCCATACACAGAAATTCAGTGGCCACACACAGAAAAACGCTGTGCAGATGAGGACTTCTGTTCTAAGGCTTGATCTGCGTTAGAACTGACTGGGCAAGAAAGAAAAAAAACCAAAACATTCAGGACCGTGGGGAGGATCTGTAATGGGGAAGAGTTATTTGCCAGAAAAAGGATCTCTCCAAAGCCAGCTGTGAGGAGCAGCAGTCAGGCAAGGACAGAGCCCATCAGCCTTCACTCCAGAACAGTGAGAATATTCTGACAGCTCTGTAAGACCTTTCCAGCAGGTGAGGCAATTGCTTCATCAAACTGGGGATCTACTTCATGACTGGATCTGATTTCAGAAATCAGCATTTTAAACTGATCAAACAACAAAAACAGCCGTTGAAATTCTGCCCACCTGAACCAGCTGGAAAATTAGCCAGGTGGAGGAAAAAACCCCCATCAGCACTCCGACAGATGCTGCTCCATATTCATACTTAACAGCTTTCCCCTTTCCCAGTCACTTCATCCAGATGTTCCAGAAGGTACTGGAAGTTCAATTAGAGGTGATATTTTATAAGTGTAAAGTAAAAACAAGTCCCTATTTACCGTTCCAGTGTGACTGCATTAAACAAACCTGGTTCTTGAGTGTGGCACAGCAGCTCATGGCACCTCCCAGCAAGGCTCACCTTTTGCTTCACCACTCACTGCTCCACAAGAGGAGACGGGCTGGAGCTTCATGGGAGTGGAAATTCCACGTATTTTAATGTTTTCCACAGATCCACTGAAGCACAAAAGCAGAAAATGTGAGAGGAAATAATACCCAAGTCCTAAAGGAAGGGACACAGGAAGGAACAACCCCAAAGGACTTTAAGTGCAGGGTGAGATGCCCAACAGAGACAAATCCCTGTGTGTTACTCCCAGCTCATAGAATGAAAAAACCTCGAGCCCCAAACTGACATCATGTTCAGCTTGGCAAAACAAAGCTTCAGTACACAGGAAAACAAGAGCTCTTCCAGAATTTCTAGTCTTCCATGCACTGATGACAAACACCCCTCCTCTTGCAGACACATGTTCCCTCTTACACAGTTCAGCATGAGGAAGACAGAGGTATTTCCATGAAAGTGGAGATTAAACTTTCTCAGAGGCAGAGATCAATTAAATTCTGCTGGGAATTGAAGAAATTAAAAATGGCCACTCCGAGGCAGTTGCAGCTGCAATCTGTTAGACTCTGCGTTTTGCATTTTAAAAACTACAAAGCAAGTTAAGATTTCAGAGTGTTTCAACTTTATCACGCTCGAACATTTAAGATGCATGTAAAAAGTGAAATAGATGCACTAAGTGGTACCAAATGGTACCTATGGCCACAGACAGGTTCTATCTCTGCGTGAATGATGGAGCAACAGCCTTGTCAGCTGCAGAACTGCATATATAAATACTTACTTTAAAACATAATTTCTAAAAGCTGGCGAACAGGTGATTCCATACTCATGAATACTGGATGGATTTGGGGGCTGTTCTTTTCCTTGTCGTGTGCACGAGGAAAACAGGAATTCACAGAAGTGGCCACCCACCAGTAGCTCTTCAATGGTCCCTGCAAGGAATGTTTTGATGAAGGATCCAACCTAATCCAACATTCTCCACCAGGGAAAAGAACATTTACTATTGACCTGCCCAGCAGCCAGGAAGAGAGACTTTGGTTTAACCTGCTCCAAAAACAGAGAAGAAGGAAATTCGGGAATATCCCTGGCCTATTAGGAAAGTTCACTATCTGCATGTTAAGAAATCCTTTACTTACACTCATCTTGCAGCAAATTAGGCCAATTTCTGCCTGTGAATGGACAAGAGAGACGAGCAAACCACTGTTCCCGTGCAGCAGAAGACTGATGTCATGTGCATCCTTGAGCTTCTCTTCTACTAACCCAGTTGCTTTACCAATCTCAGCACATCAAATAAACAAAAATACCCAAACCACCATCAGATCTGTATGGGAAACTTTCTCCAGTTTTCACAGCTCCTGAGAAAGTGAATGGATATCCAGATTTACTGTAAGACCCTTTAGAAAGTTTGAGACTCCTCCAGAAACAGCTCCCACAGCTGAAAGCTCAGCAGTGCTAATATTTTCTTGCCCTCTGAAATCTGGTAACAAATAAGAAATGAGCAATTTTTTTTTTTCCCCATATGTAGGAAACAATGAGAAGCTTGTAATAAAACCCTAAGATGATTCTGCCCTTCATGTCTGCACACTCAAGAAGCCACAGCACATAAACACGAGGATCTGCTCGCCAGCTGTTCCATGGGAGCGTGATTCACACTTAGTCAACAAAAATGGTTACAATTCACCAGCCCCCCAGAACCAGAAGTGAAAATGAACTGCAACACCCCTTCCCATCACCCCACAAGGAGAGCAAAGGCAGCTGTACCCAAACTGCTCCACAAGCCTTTCATTCGCTGTTTCCCTCAGCCTTGCTGTGCCACCTTCAGGTGTGCTCTCACCAGGTCCAGGCACAAGCAGCAGCTTCAAAGGCTCAACAGTTCCTCATTTTCCTATTAACCTTGTCACATCTGGGGGTCACAATTAAAGAAAGCAAGGGATGACCACAGTAAGTTAGTTTTGTCCTGCAGGCATTCCCATTCATGTTGTCATCACAGCAGAAGAGCCAAGTTGTTCTTTCCTCAGTGGTCCAGGTTTAGGCTGACAATGCTCACAACTGCTGCAATCGCTGCAATTTAAGCTCCTTAATATATAGTTAAAAAACAAAGGCTTTACCTCTCTCAGGTGTGCTCTCTTCCTTCTTTTCTTCCCTTTTTTAGCATAAAATCTAGCAAGGTCTGCTTTAATCAAGAATGTTTTCTCTACCCAGACACCATCATTCCATCACTAATTTAATGAATCAGTATTTAGGGTTTTTTTTTTTCCTTATTTGCCTGTCTGTGGTAGGAACAAATTTTATCAGTGGTAAAAGTTAAAGTCTCCCTTTCACTTTTTACAGTTTGCCTGTGCTGAAAGATAAGAGGGAAGAGGAAAAAGAACTTGAAAGTTAAACACACAGTTCTTTCATCACATCTTCCCTCTGGACTGCGAGAAACCCCTGTTTATTAACAGTAACATGTTAGGTCATCCAACCATTAAATTTCAAGAATGTGCCTGTTAACAAGTCTGCTGATTAGGATTAATTAGGGGGTGGAATTTCTTACATGGTACCTGATCACAGAGTCTAGAGGAACTACAAAAAAAACACTCACAAGAAACCACAGCTCCTGCAACAAAGGAATCAAACTGCAGATGCTGAAATATTTTACACAAAGCTGCATTTTCTTAAAAAGAGTCCTTACTTGAGGCTTAGTCAGGCACTGAACAGTGCCAGAGAATATGCACCGTGGAACACCCATCTGTGGAGATTGCCCTTAATTTGTGTCCCTGAAGAGATGGAGTGCAGCAGAGCATATGGTGGGGATTCATCTGCTCCATCTCCCTCCTCTGGTGCTCCAAAACCTAAACTTGGGGGGGGCTTTAATGGTAAAAAATCCTACTTAGGGATCACAGAATAGTCTGGGACCTTGCAAGGCCATGGAGTTCAAACCCCCTGCAATCAGCAGGGATCATGCTGTTTATAATAAACTTTCCAAACACTGTAAAAAGCACTGCAACTTTTCAATAAACCAATTCCAAAACTGTCACTAAATTAAAAAGAAACAAAATTAGTCCCAACACAATCCATCTGACCCCCTTGGTATCACAATTAATTTCTAACAACGTGGCAGCAGCTCTGTAACTTAAAATATACATCTTATTAATTACCACAATTAAAACCAAACAGCTTTAAATGTTAAAAAAATATTTATTTCAATTTTAAATACAAAAAGGTCAGAACAAGGAACAATGATTAGTACCGAAAATTTCTGTGAATATTAAATAGCATGTATTTCTAAGTTCACTTTACAAAAACAAGTGCTTATAGAATTGTAATCAGATTTTTGATTTGCCCTAAGTATTTCCCAACTGACAGGTGGCTAAATCCAGTGGTTTTAAATAAGTTAAATATCAGAACTTAACAGACACAGTAAGTTACACTGAAACTTTTGACCAGAGCATTGAAAGACTTGTCTGAGGAATCAATCCTCCTTCCTTCTCACTTCCATCCACCTCCTGAGAAAAATATGCAGGTTTTTGATACTTATTTTTGGTGAGCACAGAAAAGTTGGCCTTCCATAAAAGTATGTGCTGGTTTATTCTGTGGCTATTGCATATATCCAAAAACAACCAAGCCCAAGAACACACCAAAAATTAACATTCCATGTGCAGTAAGAGCCTTGGAATCTGCCAGAATATTAAGAGCATTCTTACCCTACTGAACAAGACATTCCAACTCACACTGCAGTCGTGGCCAGAGTCTGCATCACAAAACTGAACAGCTTGTGCACTCCTCAGCAAACCAAAGCCTTCCCCACATACAGAGGTTGGACTGTTTATTTAAAGAACACAGGAAAAAAATTAATTTCAGGTTATTTTGCTGTATCAAAAATACAGCACTGTTTATTACACTCAAGCAATCAGCCTGCAGAAAATCAGACTTCATAAAGCACAGGGTGGTGAAATGCTTAAATTGCTCATCCTAATGCTTCACTGCACCAGTGCTGATGAGGAGATTCCAATAGCTCTGCACCAAGAGCCAATAACCAAATTATTCTTGGGCAGTCACACCTCTCCAGGACTGAAAGCAGGAAGAAGATAAAATGCCTGGGCAAGGAGTGATTTTTTTTTTTCAGAGTGATGCTGGAACCAAAGCCCTGCAGGTGTGTTAGCTGACACTGCTGAACAGGCAGGGCAGCTGCTGTGGGGAGGGACAACTGAGCTCTCAGCTCTCCTCTCAACTCCTCCAGCTGGGTAGGGAAATTCTTTCTAGAAAACGAGGAATTCAAGGCAGCCTATATTTAGGCCTGCAAACTCTCACCTCTGCTACTGGTCTTCAAAGAAGGTAAATAAAGAGAAACAGGGGAATTTCCAAAGCTGCATGAACAGCACATACACAGTACAACTTCCAAGCTTTCTTAGGGAAACAGGTGCTTTAAAAAAGTATGTTACTAAAATATGTTCTTTGTGTGGCATATCCACCTTCCATAAAACTCCTGTCAAATTATTTCAGCTCTGTAAAGGGCAGCGCTTTTTGCTTTAAAGCATATTGAGAAAAATTGCATAGTTTTAAAGTTACAGAGAAAATTTAATGTTTCAGCTGTGATGGATGAAGAAAACTTGTCTGAGGACAACAGCAGTCCAAAAGCCAAGGAATTCTTAGAGCTACACAAAATAACTTAAGGAATAAAAAGACAGTTTGGCAAAACCATCCGCCTTGTTCCACATTTAAGGTGCATTAAGATGGAGACAAAGATCACAGTTCTCACTCCCAGCTCACCCTTTTGGTTCAAGTTCCAATTCTGAGCCTGAACCCACCAGACCCTCTGCAGCTTCGTGAGCCGAAGTGAAAATGATGGAAGACAGATTATAAATTAAAGCTGTAAATTGCAGATTACAAATGAATCTGCAAATACTTTGGTAACTCCAAAGAGCACTTCACAATTGACACGAACATGGGGCCATTTCATCGCCTCTCAAACCTCCGGAGCCTTTGCCTCCTCATTTCCTCCTCCGGGTGCTCAGGTGGGAACCAGAAGCCGTACGGCCGCCGCTCGTCGTTGTACGTCGCTCCCCCAAAATCTGCAAGACACAATCAAAACCAACTGTTGTTTGGTTGTGTAATACCAGAAAAATGCACATATCTCCTGGAAGCCAAAGCACCACAACACAAAGGGAACAGGGAGTTGGGTGTTTTCAGTTCTGATGGTTTCAGGGCAATTGCGACTTCCAGCGACTGCTCCTCAAGTCAAACAAAAAGCAAAACCAAAAAACCAAACAATAAACCCACCACCACTCCCTCCCCCCCCAAAAAAACAAACCCCAAACCAAAAAACCACAACCAAAGGAACAACCTAAAAAGTATTAACCCATTAATAACAAGCATTAACAAGTATTCAGATTTTTCCACCCCTGCTTTCCACAGTAAACTCCGGATTGTTAAACTATTTAAGTGTCCTCAGCAGTTTCTTCTGGCAAAATCAGCTTTTGTTTGTGCTTTTAGCACCGAGTCCAACATGTGCAGACTCACAGCAGATGCACAGACAGCTCCCATCCTCAGCTGGCAGCAGTCGCAGCAGTGAAGGCCACGTGGCAGCTCCTTCAGACAGAGCTGTAAGCAAAATAATCCTCAACTTTCACCTGCACCACACAGGGTCAAAACTGCATTCTGATGCTGAAGTTAGATAAACTTTTTTTTTTTTTTAAAATCATCCTGATTAAAATAATTTGCATTTTTAAAAAATTCTTTTCAGTAGTGAAATTTTCAATTAAATAAGGTTTCTTATGGAAACATTTCTTTTGCTATGCAGCATTTCTGGTTAATTGTTAGGTAAGAAAAGAGATACCACTTATACAGAGTGTACACTTGCAGAGCCCCTATAAAATATCCTCAACCCTTTAAATACACATGTGCTTTAATAATCAGTAGGAACAGAATTAAGTGCTATAAAAGAGATGCAAAATGCTCTTTTATACGTTGACCTAAAAATAAAAGACTGGCAATACATTTTGAAGAGCTCTGTGTTAAAGGAAAGATCTTATTTTACATCAAACAATACGGTGAGGAACAAAGTTGTCTGTTTGTGAAGGCTTAAATATGTTCATTTGTATCTGTATGTATATATTTAAATTATCCTGCTACCTAAAATAGTTCCCTGAAACCTTTTTTTTTTTTTTAATTACAGCAGAAATATTAATGAAATGACACCTTTATCCTACCAAAATATTTATAAGCCACAGTGTTCAGAAATGGTAATTAGGCCACTGCTACTACCGAGACACCACCTGATGTCTGTGCAAGAAACAAGCACGGGCTTTTCAGCACATCAGCAAAAAAACATTTCAAGACTGTATTTAAAGCATTTGGAAAACTGCAAAAACACCAGATGACAGACAGAAGCGAAGGATACAGCACAACAAAGTTAGAACAAAACATTAACCCTTACACGGTGTATTTTAAAATTAATTCTGTTGTGAACTGGAACTGTGTTCTGTCGATGCAGAGGGCTGAGCCCCTCCATCCTGTCACTGTGGAGGGGTTTCTTTCGTTACTGATGTTCACAAAGCACTGGGAATACAGACAAGAAAACCACTCTAGCTGCAAGAGGTGTGACTAAACCTGTATTGATGGAATACAGACCAAGCTTTAATAAGCTGGAATATTTTCATCCACATGTTAAATAAAACATCAACCATTTCGGAAATTGGAGTGTAAAACTGTTTATACCGACCCATGAGAGCAGCTTAAAAACAACACATATTTGCAGGTTGTTACTCAAATTTGCACCCTTCTCCTAGGATTTAAACAACACAGGAAGACAGAAACTATCGAGCAGAAGTCTTCTCAAGTCATAAGATACAATCAACCAGGGGAATCTCTCCAAAAACTAAAGGGTTTGTCATACTCTTTTAGTCCCATTCCCGTTTCAAGTTTTGGAATCAAATTACCAGCACGTTCAACACAGTCACTTTAAAAATGCACCTGCCCAATTTGAGAAGGTAGAAAGAAAAAAATCCCTTTAAGTGACACTATTACCCACACCTTGCCAGGTATTGGAGACTTTGTACTGCAAATTATGCACCCAGCGTTGGTTCCCCTGGTTCTTAAGAAAACTTTTGCTTATATCTTTAGTTCTGTTATCTAATTTAATTTTTGTAATTAACAGATTGCACACAACCACCTCGATTCTGAAATTGTGCTGTGGCAGATACACATCACTTATAAAGATTTCATTGAATAGTATTTCTGATTTAGGACAACAAAATACATTCTAAATTCTACATAAACAGCACACAAGAAATTCAGCCAGCAATAAGTGCAAGAAATTAGGACTGTCTTACTGGATACAAGTCCTGCAAATTAAAGACTTAACTCTGCAGTACAAATATATTTCTCTTCTGTTCTCATGCAACTCAAAGTGCTGCTAACTTACAACAGCTGATAATGCCCAAAACTTCCTTACAGACTTTATGACAGCAGAAGGAAATTTAATAAATATTTTGATGTGCCTTCTGGATTCATATTTGAGACAATTATGAAGTAAATCCTGACCTTCCAGTTCATCACTGAACTGATGCTGAATAGCACTTACTTATATCAACTCATTTGCAAGTAAAAGATTATTTCAAATTAAGTACTACCACACTGAGTACTCTTACAGGACAATCAGGTTGGCAGTGGATTAGTATTCTTGATCACTCTTCAACTAAACTACATTTGTTTTGAAAAAAGAGGCAAAATTGATGAAACCATGAATATTAAAAAACTTTGGCTTCTGTTACTATACCCACTGCACGACTTATTCGGAAAACATAAGGTATAACCACAACACAAAATATAATACTTGCTTTATTAGTTTTCTGGAAATTCATCAGGAGGAGAGAGGGCATACCTTGGCTTGCACTATTAAACTCCCACTTGTAACCATGGCCAGGTGACTCTATTTACAAGCAAGATTATTATTAAAAATGAGATGTTAGACAGACCCTTGCACCACAGGTTTGTGCTCCCACCATCCGGGACACTCCCAGGAGGTGACACCAGAACCACCCTGGCCACGTGGAAATGGGGACAAACTTCAGCCAGCAAAATACTCTGCCTTGTAAGCAGAGCTTCCAAGGGCTTATTTTGAGACAGATGGGCTTTAGAGAAGCTGCTGCACTGAATATTACAGAGTTGTTTATTGTCTGGCTGCTCTGAAGCCCCGGGATTGTGTGCCAGCATCGAGCACTTTCTGTCACAACGGGTTTCATCAGAAGGGAGGCAAAGTGAAAGCCACTGCAATACATACACACTTTGTTTTGTGCTAAAACCAGTCCTAAATTCAGACCTTGACTTGCTGTTGTGACAAGGCCAAGTGCAGAACCAACACCACACCCCTGAGGCTGAAGAGCAAACACAGACGTCTTCTGTACAAGAACCCTCCACATTTTGCATACCTGGTTACCAGGTAAGATTTTGTCTATTGTTTTTTTCTCATTTTAAGCATCTGCAATACAATGCTGTCACCCTTTAACGTGCACAACACGCTCCAAGGCTTTTCACTATAAAGTGATCAGGTCAGTGCTCCCTTCCTCAGATATTTTTCACATATTCTCAGCACTTCAAATACTAAAATACAGCCCCCTCCAATCCATGATCTAGGAGGGCAGGCAGGAAGAGGTGAAAAAGCACTAACATAGTTAATGACAACAATTTATCACTTAGAGTATCTCAGAAATAACTCCAAATGTGATGGAAAGTATCAGCTTTTCCAGTAGCAGTCAATACTAGGAAAAATAAAAACCAAACAAACCCAAAGAACTGCCCTGGAACTAGGGAATGTGGTACCTACAAACCCCAAACTACACAAACACTCACATACCCACACAGAAAACATTTCCAAAAAAAGTCTTACTTTTGTAGAAGCTTTGCTATAGAAGGTAATCACAGACATATATTCCTCTTCAGAGTAGTAAGAAAGCCATAAATAACTTCAGTTAAAAGAAGAATTTCAGGTTGGCTGCATATTTATCGTAACATAGTAGAATAATTTTGTTAGCAAATTACTAATTTATTCAGTCAGACATTAGAAAAAGAACCCAGAACATCATTTTTAAAATTGTCCCAATGAACAAAATGTAAACTATACAGAGTCTATACAATTAACTCAGTGATAAACCAGAGTTAAAATACTAAATTATGGGTACATCTAAAATTAGGAATATCCCCTGACCTTAGTTTAGCAGTAAAATCATTCCCAGACTAAGATTGTTCACATTTGCAAGAATCTCAATATATAAAAAACCCACTTTGTTTTCCCTTTGCTGCATTTCTTGCTTGCCTAACAAAGACCCACAACAACAGAGACATCTCTAGACACGGTCAAAGATGGAACTATTCCTATTGTTTTCCTCCTGTTTTAATTGTCTTCAGCAGTTGAAGCATTTGCCAGAAGGAAACCACCCAAAAGAAAACTGCACTGGCAGGGCCTGAGGATGTATTTGCATATTCAGGAAGTCACAGGGAAAAAAAAGCAGCGCTGTTTATCCGTTTTAACTTGAAAACGTGAATAAATTCCTATCTCAGAATCCTTTGTAGCAATGATCAGAACCTCTATCACCCAACTGTGTCACTGCCAGCTTGTTGCCTGAAGACCAGAGGGAGTTAAACCCTTTGAGCAGCATTTCCAAAATTACCCACCCTACAGAGCTGTTGTTTTCCCCACGGTATTTCACAGGTGCTGATTGCTCATGACCCTGGTTTCAAAGTGAAAGGCTTAGTGGTCCATCTTACCTCCCTGATGAACTTTTGTCATTGCTATCAAGAGAATCAGGAGGTTTCTGGTTCTAATTTTCAGCAACTGTAGGTTTATCCTATGTCAACCACTGTATTTATGAAGACACAGATGGAAGAACAGTCATGAAATATCTGCAGGAGAATTCTGGCCATGCTTCTTGTTGCAAGCTGTCTGCTGCTTACACTGTTACCAAAGCTTTGCATGGAAATGATACAAATGTGCTGATTAATTTTCCTGGAAATTTGCCTTAAGAAAGTGCTGGGGATCAGGATCACAGAGCACAGTTGCAGTTTTAGAAAGATGTTTAGAACATGAGCTCTAATTGATGAGGAAAGCCTTTTTCCAAGAAGTGTTTTGGGTACCTGAGACCAAACATAACCTGAATTAAAAACAACAAATGAACAAACCAACAAAAACATAAAAAACTCCCAAACCAAAAGACAAACAAACAAATACCCCCAAACAAACCAAAACAAAATAAATGCTTATATAGAGTTTCATTATAAAATATGAGAGGAACATCTGCATCTGATACTTCCAGGTATTTCTCTTTAATCACAAACTACAAAGATCACCTCCATGTTTAAAAAACTTAAGTCTTAAGAAAAAGAGGGAAATTCCTTTGTGCAGTAACACGAGCTTGCAAGGGATTCTTAACATAATTCAGACCGAAAGTCAGACACTTAGGAGTTCAACCCACAAAAAATCCCAAACACCCACCACAAAAAAAATCCAAATCCACGTCCCACACTAATCAAGATGGTTTTTTGTGAGCAGAATAGCAAGCAAAGAATAGATCAGAGATAAGGTTATGCTGGGATTACATTAATGGTGGCTGCCAATACCAGGATTAACCAAAAATGGCAGCCATATATTTGAACTTCCTCATTCAAGGAGTTTAAATATCAAAGGATATGATTTTTTTACGACCAAAATTATTTTCTTAAGTAAAGGAAAAATTACTGCAATTTGAAACAAGCACAGACTTACAGGAATAAGAATAAGAACTTCAAAAAAAACCCCCAACAAACCAAAACAACAAACTTTGGAGAGAAAAACAATTATTGTTGTGTAAATGGATACTTGTTTGAGGCAACAATATATCTAAAATGAGCAATGGGAAGAAAAATAAGTTCCTTTCAGCAAAATGGCCCTAAATCACTATGATAATTTGACAGTCTTGAAAGTGATGCCAACATACATCTCAAACAAGCCTACATTTCTCTTCTGGCATTAGACATTAATTATTATTATTATTAAAGAAGTGTTCAGGATCTCCAGTTCAGGAATGCCTGACTGTACAATAAAGAGAAATGCTGTATCTTTATGGTGGGTTTAGATAACCCATATAAAGGATACAGAACATACTGAGCTTAAACTCAATGCATGTCTTGGTATGAATTACTTTTCAGTTGTGGACAACAACTGACACCAGGAAACACTGTATTATGTCACTGACTCTAATGAGCTTAGCAGGATAACATCACAGCAGTTTATAAATCAATTTATAAACACTGGATCAACATTCTCAATCCATAACGCTACAGTTTGTGGCCTAAAACACATAATAAATGTACTTGTCCAACGAAGCATGAAACAATATTAATAATCAATCAGAATTACAGCAGTACTTTGTTGTCCAAGTTAAGGAGCAGCTGTGATGGTTTAAGTGTCATAGTTGGGGAAAAAAAATTAATATGAAAAGAGAGCCCTAAATTGATTGTGGTACCAGCTTTTACAACCATTTAGCTACACTTACTGACTGTAGCGATTTCATTTACAAATGGAAGTTGCAAATGTTTCACCCTGATACGTGGAAGCCTTTCAAGTGCACACTGTCTACTTACTTACATCATCATCCTTTTGTCATTGTTATTAGTATTCTGTTTTCTTGATACTTTAAAAATACACCACAAACACGGCTCACTCTTCCAAGTTTCAAAACCCTTTGTACAAAAAGCTTTGAAGGATTTCTTCCTCAAACTCAGTGTTAAAAATGACGCAAAATGTGTCAAAGAGACAGTAAAATAAACAGTACCCCTTACAATAAAGACCATTTTAGACCCATTCCCTTCCAAAATTACACAGGGCAACATATTTGTATTACTTGGTTGATTCCTAAAAATTCCCAAGATAGCACAAAGAGTAACTCATTCACTGTCTTCTGCTGACAGAGCAGATGGACTAAGTGCTGTTTTACTGACTTATTTGAAAGCTCAGATTCTCACTGTCTTCTAAGATTTGATTGAAATGGGACTGCTCAGATTACATTAATTTGTAAAACAAACCCACTAAGGTAATAAACTTGCTGCAGAAAACGTTAGGGGATTTTTGAAGCTTCTAGCTTTACAGTGCTGAAGGACACTCAGGCAGAACAACAAAGGTGAACAAAGAAGGAAGATACCCAGAAGAAAAAAAATCCCTTAAAAAACCCCCTGTTTTCCCTACAATCTGCACTTCTTCCTCACAAGCCACTCTCACAATAGACACAAACCCAATAAAGCAAAAAAGCTCTATTTACTTTAAGCAACATGTTAATGAATTTCTCAAACCGAAAAAGTCTCGTTCTATTTCAATTTTGCCTCATCTGCTGAGTTTTCAAAACCATCTTCCAGATAACACAACATGTTCTTCATAATAAAAAAAGAGGATCGCAGAAGGTGCGAAAGCAAAAGTGATGATGATTTGTCAAGATATTGGTTTTCATATTTTGCCTGGTATTTCTCTGACAGCCATAACAGTGCTGTAAATTAATTTTCTGAGTGGAGATTTATGAATGGTGCCCTGCATTTGAAGGGTTGCAGGTACAAGTAGAGGCTTCTGTATCTCTTTCCTAATGAACGGTTCCTCGCACCCAGGAAGATGAAATACCAAGATTACGAAAAAGAAAAATTATGTTTATGAGATATTCGGTGGCATTATTATTTTTCTTGAGATTAAACGTTACAAATTCACCAGATTTATAAGAAATCTTTCAGAAGCCTGTGGCTGACTTCCTACAACAATCCATATGGACACACAACGCATTCAAGAGGAAGCAATGCTTGGCATGAAAAACTATATCAACACCAGACAACACATCCTATATCCATTTCTGACCTTTATTTTATCAGTCAACATAAAAATGTTGCATAACCATGATGAAAATTGTACATGTGATGTTCTAACCATGCTCTGTCAGTCACATTAAACAGATTTCCCCTTAAGCCTTGAAGTTTTCAGGAACTGAGTAACAGATTCTGCCAGGTATTCTTTCCCCCTTCATTTTCTTGCATCATAAAAAGATAAAGTACATCCCACTGAAGGTATTTTACACATTTTATACTACTACATTTCAGTTAAAAACAAACATTTTTATTGCTAAATATTTTTTTCTCATGTTTTCCAGCTGTGTAGAATATGAGCTTCCTTTAAGGTAGAAAAGGATAGTGTGAAGAGTTAAAAATCAGTACATTGCCTGTCAATCATATTTGTATAAAAAGCAAAAAAAAAAAGACATACCCAGAAAGTTCAAATATTGGCAACATCAATTTTGCTATTACCACTTGATACTACTTTTTAGAGAATTGTGAGAGTTTTTAGCACAGTAACTCAGTTTACTCGAGGGATTTTTGTCAGAAAGGCATTTCTTCTACTGCATTGGTGGAAAGATAATCAAACAGTAAGCAATTATGAATAAATGTAATTAGACTAAGACAATGACACTGCATCCTCACACTACGTCCTCTGAAAATTCTGCCAGGAAGTTTTCTTCTGTTTCCAAAGATATGACCAAAACACTGAGAATAAATAATGAGGAATACATCTTGTTTTCCCTCCTGACTCCCTTCTCAGTGTGAATGAGAACTCAAGATGTAAAATGCAATAAAATTCCTACCTCTTTCATTAAGACTGTTGAGCACTGCCCTTTCAAGCTGTTCTTCTTCAGTGAGCCCACCAGTATAGTCATAGTAGTTCCTTGGAGTTCTGTGTTGATAACCTGGATAATAGCCATAATAGTCTGTAAAATGAAAACAAAAAAAACCAAGAAAATTAATTGCTGCTGCTCAGTGGGCAAGTTGAAATCAGCCAGCGATGCTGCTCTGCCGACAACCAGCTATTCCCGACCATTTGGAAAGTTTGCCAAGGCCAAGCACAAATCATCATCCACCCAAACACATGGGATTTAAAATAAAATTAAAAAAAACAAAAAAATTACTTGGCTGGAGAATTGAGCTAGACTCTTCCTCCTTTTAACAACAGTGAGCAGAGAAAACAAGCTGAGAAAAACTATGGCAAAAAAGTCCCATCTTTCTATTCCATTTTTGCGTCTTCAAAAGACAAAGCTTTTATGATATTTTAATTTCCAGACGACTGAGCAAGGGATTTTGAAGAACTAAAGTTACAGAAATGTTGCCAGTGTCTTCCAACTGATGGAAAATTACACACTTCTTTTTTTTTTTCAAAATGAGAAAAGTGGAAATCTGTTTGCATGAAACGAGTAGAACATGCCATTTCCTTTTATCTTCAGATTATTACCATCAATGATAGTCCTGTGCTCTCTCATCAGTTCTATCAATTCCACGTGCAATGTGTGAAGGCTCTGTGATTAACAAGTACAGATGATGAAGTGAGGACAAACAAATAATTTCTTTTAAAAAACTGACTGTGGTAAGGA